CATAAACTCTGACATAACTGGAAGGGCCTTGTTATGAATAACAAAAGACAGTCTTGTCACTCAGGAAATTCCCTGGGTTTTAAGAGCTCTGCACCTGGAAGTGGGTCGGAGGGGGGCACAAAGGCCAAATACATATTTCCTATAATACCACAGTACCTTTTGAATTTTCATGTGTACACACATACACACTAAAAAGTATTAAGATATTGGAAAGAGGGAAAGCTCAAAAAGCCTGAAGTACCCAAGGTCACCTAACTTGCTAAGGTGGACCTCCAATTCCCTCACTTCTATCTGAAGAATTCTTTCCAATGTGCAGATAACTTTTTCATCTGTTTGAAATGTTAATGCTTTTGTAAATTCAAGAGTCCTGAGCATCCTAGATTTCGTATTTTAAAATGGTAAGTCTTCTAGACTTTGAGGCACTTGTGGGAGATCAACATTAACAGAGATTTTCTCCATTAATTAATGCAAAACATAGTATCTAGAGAGACAACCATTTATATCATGCAAATTAGGGAAGACTTGGAAACTGTCCCTCCAAAATACCTCTCCACTAATCTGCTCAAAGACCTGGAAGAAATCCTATTACTGTGTACTTCCTAAGCGAAATGAAAATATTTCCAGGAGAGGTATTCCTACACTCTCAACAACCATTTTTAACTCCTGAAAAAAAATCAATTTATTAGATTCCTACTGCCAGGTCAGACCCCAAGAGCAAGCTCCTACAGGGCTGGGACTATGGGTGATAAATTTTGATAAAAAAGAATCATTTGAGGTTCAGTTTTATCATCTGTAAAATGAGTGGGCTGGGCCACTGTGTTGTCAGATTTCCTTCCTTCAGGATCTGCTCTGGCTAAAAGATTTTTCAAATACCTTAGTTCACATGGAAAACCTGGGATGAATAGGAGGGGGAGGGGGCATTTTTTCTCTTAGTCAGATGAGGAAATTGAGGCTCAAAAGAGTTGAGTCTTTTGCTCAAGATTACCTGCCAAAGAGCCTGTTTAGCATGATCGCTTAACTCCAAGTTCAGTGACTACATCATATTCAAGTTCAAGTTCGACTACATCATATTCATTCCTTCATCTATTGAATACCTACCATAGGGTATGCTGCTGGGATGCAAAAGTGAAAAGATGAGGCTCCTGCCCCCTTGGGGGTAGCAGCCATTGGGGAAGGTAAGTTCTTAGAGAGCTGTGCCGTCAGTCTGCTGGAGAGAGAGATGGAGGCAAGAAGGCAGAGAGCTGGGAGCCGAGATCAGGGCAGACTTCACATTGAGGTTGAACTAGGAAGGATGAGTAGGTATAATGAAAGGGAAGCCAGTGCTCTCAAAAGAAAAGACTTCATCCTGAAAGCAGGCCACTTACGGTATTATGGTGGTTGTTGGTGGCAGATTGGCAGAAATTTCTGGGTAGAGGGATCTTTCAACGCCTTCTGGATAACATCATATGTCATTGCCTTATTCAGGTCTGCACCAGACTGTTGCCACCCGCTGTGTGGTTTTTATTCAAGGGGTTATATTATGAAAGAAAATGGAAAGTGGCAGATAAGGAACAGGCTGTGCCATAACTTCTTCAGTTGTTTTATACTTAGTTTTACTTACCATACTATGGAGTAGGGGACTGGAATCCCTCTTGAACTTTTCGTAAGACTCAGTAACACACACCTAGGTCAAGAGGTGAAAATAAGGCAAATTTTCATTGCTGTTTGACCAAAGAAACCCATCGTGGCTGCTGCCTGGCCAAGTTGTTGTTGTGGGTGAGGATGCCCTGGATCAGAGATGGGTTGCTTCCACATCTATTGTAACAGTTAAAGTTCTTAACCAAAACTTTCATTCATTTCATGCTCTTAAAAGAGACCTCCACAGTTATTCCAAATATTTTGTATATTCCACAAATCCCAATTGTTTTTCTTGTATGGTAAGAGGGGGAAAATTTCATTCACTAGAATCTTGACATATCACATTTGTTTATGAACTAATGCTTTAAAAGCTGAGCCCCTGGTAGAGCCCTGGGTGGGTGTGCCAAGGAAATACACCAGAGAAAGGTGCCGTGTAGGATGAGAGAAACTTGCATCTTTCCCGAAAGAGAGTAGGGATGGAGAGGGAAGATGAAAAGAAGGAGGGAAGAAAAAAACCCAAGTGGCCAGCCCACCACCCTCTCAGTCACCCAGGATTGCAACCTCAGGGACTCGTATGTTTATGTTCTCCCAGCCAGCCAGGCGCCAAAGCCTGCTGTTCTTCCTTCTCTGCTGCGTGCGCAGGAGTCCCCTTCATTCTGTTTCTGCTCTCACCTCTTTAACCTGCAACCTGAACACTGAGCTCCAGATACACCAGCCTCCCAGCTGACCTTCCTACTACCACCTTCTCCCTCCCCCTCCACTCTCTGTCACATCCCCGTTATCAGACCAGTCTTCATAGAACATACTTTGTTTGCCACATCGGTCAAAGCCTTCAGGGGCGTCCCGCTGTCCATTAACAAAAGCTTTAACAATCTTAGCTGAGAATTCAAGGCTCCAAGCATTGTGACCCTCAATCATCCGTCTGGGCCTATCTTCACAGCATTAGCTTTTATTAAGCACTCACCACAGGCTAGGCATACTGTTAGAAGCTTCTAAATGTTACTTGTCTATCTGGAATCCCTTTCCAGGAAAGGTGTGTGTTCCCTGCCTCCTGAGGTCCTGTTGGGCAGTCCTTGATGACAGCTGAACATGTGACAGCAGGCCAGCCAATCAGAGCCTTTCACTCTCCCCCACCTTCACCCTCCAGCTTTCTGAGATTTGACTTGTAAGTGGGGGTGAGTGGGTTTCCCTCTTCTAGGGTTGAAATCTACATGAAGAAGCAGAGAAGAGCAGAGAGAAGAAGAGCCAGAGAGTGAGACAGAAAGGGAAACCTGATGACATTGTCCCCCTGGATCCCATCACGCAGGCAGGTGGCTCTACCTCTGGACTTTTCCCATGGTGAGTCAAAAATTCCCTTTCTTACGTACTTTGTTTTAAGGTTGCTGTTATTTGCAACTGAACCGATGACTAGAACACTTTATATGGCTTAACTCATATGATTTCTTCACCACTGCTTTGTGAGATGGGACTGTAACTTTCAACCATTTTGATGGGACGTGGCACCAGAGAAGTGTGATGAGCCCAAGGTCCCTCATTGTTTAAGTGGCAGAGATAGAATTTGCAACCAGGCGGCCAGTCCTATTGCTGACGTTGGCCTCTTAACGGAGAAAGCCAAAGCCTTTCAGGAAAACGTACACAAGATTCACGAGGCTGAGCACAACACACGCCTACTCTCATCCCATCAGCTGCTTGCTCTACACCTTGGCCTCACACAGGCCCTGGATTTTCCCACTTCTAGATATTTATTCAGACTCCCCCCCACCACTGAACACATTCCTTATTCCACTTCTGTCTCTCAATATTTACTTATCCTTCAAATCTTGGATCAAACATCAAATCCTTCTGGAAGCCTTCAAAGTTACTCCACTCAGAAACAATTACTTCTTCCTTTGAGTTTTGAGGACTTTGACTTGAACACGGGGCCAGGTGGGTGTCTTTGAAGGTTATGGCACAATAACTTGTAGGTATTTCTTAGGGAGGTTGGGGGGACCGGTAGTTTGAAGTCATCAAATTTTCGCTCCAGCCATTTCAGTGTAACTGCAGAACACTGCACTTTTTGTGGACTTAATTCTGAAAGCCAGGGACCCATAGCACGATTTCTCTGATGGCATAACATATTTACACGGGGATTTTAAAGAGGTTACTCTGGTAACCTAAGGCATGGCCAGACGAAATTGTCTAGCAAAGGCTTGGGAAGAAGGGTCCCAAGCTCATTGCAGGTAGGTGATGTTCTTTTCATGGGATGATTTTCCACCTCCACTTTCAATTTTTTTAATAGATAGAGAGCTATTCTGGTTATCTAATTTTTCTTTAGTGGGTGTTTGTATCTTTCAAGGAATTTGTCTATTTTATCTATGTTGTGACATTTCTATCTGGTGCAATTAGAATAGTAGATAAAAGCTACCCCCCCCCCCCCAATCTTTTCCCGTTAACTCTCCTTTTGGTGCTTTGAAGCAATACAGCGTCCTGACTGGTCCCTGTGGTCCCCACCTTTCTTCTAAGGCCAGCCTTTGGGAAAACTACTCCTTAAGTCTTTCTAGTTAGCAGCAATTGACTTAAAAAAACAAAACAAAACACTCCAACTTGTGTATTATTGTTTAATCACTCCAGGAGTATTTGCATTTTAAAAGAAAATGTTCTTGTGAGGAGTAGGTGAAGAAAGTGCTTGGGGAGATGGTCTTTCTTCTCTTTTTAAAATCCTATTCAAGTACAAATTTGTTTTCACTAAAGTCTCCATCAAGGGTGTTCCCTTTGCTCTTTGGTTAACGTAAAATCTTAACAAAGGTCCTGCCCTGTCAAAGTGATCAGAATCCATTCTTTATACTCTGTCTTGTGGACCCCTGTCCCGGCGGTCAAACTGTTGGGCTCCTCTGAGAAAGCGACATTCGTGATCTACAGTGGAGTCCAGAAATGTACATACAAGACCAAAACACTGCAGCAGCCTGAATCACGAACTTGAAAGCCACGGTTATAAGGCGTGCCTTTCTGAAGATGCTAGGTTCTTGAGGCCTACTCTGCGTTCTGGCCTTGGGCGACCACGCGAACACCGGGTGTGAAGGATTGAAGGCGGGGTCCGGGGCCGTAGCGCGCCGGGAAGAGGCCCTGGTGGCAGGGAGCCCCCGAGGCTGCCGGGCGACGGGTGGAGAGGGAGAGGGATTAAGTAACCGAGAAACAGCCTGGCCCCGCGCGCGTCCCAAGCACTTTAACGCTCGGGGACACTGAAGGCCGGGGCTGCCCCGCGGGCGCGGCAGGAGCGGCGGGTGGGGACGGGTGATCCCGGGCGCCCGCGGAGCCCGACGCGCTGGGCAGGGCGGGGCGCCCTGACGCCGCGAAGACCCGAGTGCTGGGCGAGCTCGACGCGCCCGGCCTCGGAGCGCAGTGCCATGGAGTTCGGCCGCTTGGATAGGCTTTTTGACCGCGTGGGGCACTTCGGCAGGTAGGGAGCTGGGGTGGGAGTGAGGAAGGAGGGCGGCCTAGGGGAGCGGCAGTCGCGTGCGTGGAGGCGTCGGTGGAGTCTGTTTCTTTCCGTTGCAGTGAGGTCCTCGCGCTGCGCTCGAGATCTGAAAACACCTTCCACCCCACGTGTCGCAAGAAGTCCAGACTCCTAGTCCAGACTCTCGGACTGTGGCGGCGGGGCCTCCCTGCAGCAACGGGAAGGGCGCTGGGGGTTCGCGGTGGCAATGCTGGCTGCTGGGTAGGGGGGACCTGGAGCGCGCTCTGCAGGAGCCGGAGTCCGGAGGCCCAGCCCTGGAGGCCGGGTCACAGGAATAGAGGAGCGCCTGGCCCTGGCCGCCCGCTTCTCTAATCCATCAAGCAGTGTCCTCTTTCACTTCCCCAGACGGCGCGGCCCTGCCCCGCCGCCGCGCCCTGGGTCTCCCTCAGTGCCTTAGCAGGTATTGCTCCAGGAACAACCGCTAGTCAGAATTTGTTGCCATTTAAAGAAACCTAGTATGTGCCAGGTACTTACTTACGCGCGGCACTTCATTTGATGCCCATTGTGTTCTTGCAAAGGAGCCTGGTAAGGCCACAAACCCACGGTTATCACCTGGTGGGACCTAGGTCTAACCTTTGTACACTTGGTACCCTCTTTTCATTTGTTAAATTAATTTTAAAAAAATTTAAATGTATTCATTCATTCATTCATCCATCCATCCATTCATGGAGAAACGTTTCTCTATTTGACCCTGGCTGTTTTGGGAGGAGAGGAAGCTGGGTGACGGGCCATACAGCGCGCTGATCAGAGATCTGGAGCTAAGTCTGAATCCTGGCCTGCCACTTGCCCCTGACGTGATTCTGGGAATATTGTGTCTCAGTTTCCTGTCTACAAAATGGGAATCATAATGTCTGCCTTACCTCCCTGTCCCAGGTTTGTAGTGAAGAAATGATATGGTGCTGCTCTTTAAGATGGAAAGTTGCACACGTTCTGGTTGTGATTCCCAGTGTCCGCAAAAAGGAAGTCCCTGCGCACCCGAGGAGGGGCAGGAGGCCCCAGCTCTCCCCTGCTTCCCCCTGATACCCGCATTAGTGAATGCCCAGCTGTGTCTAGCTCTGTCATGAGCGCATCTTGGCTTCTTGAATGGCCACTCCAGCCCTGTGAGATTGTTCACATGAGAAAATTGGGGCATGTGCATGAACCATAGATCTGGTAATAGAAGCAAATGCCAGAGAAAATGTGGAGTACCGTGGTGCATCCAATTTGCAGAATTGGATGTCGTGGGATGTCCCTCCATCTCCACAGCCCACGTTCTCAACGCTGATGCTCTCCTGAACACATTTAGGCACCAACCCTGGTACTCCACCAGGCCCTTTATATATTACCTCATTCCATCCTTCTGGAAGCAGGAGGATGAAAGATCAACTCCTGGGCTGGATGTGTAAGTTCCAATCCTGGCTCTACCAAGTATCAACTACATGGTATTGAGCATTTTATTTACTGCTTCCTCATCTGTATAATGGAGGTGATAATACAACTACAAATGCTTATTATAAGTACTTCACATGTACTTCGCATTTCATCTCACAGTAACCCTGTGAAGTACTATTATTTTTTCTCCATGTATTTTGGGATTAACTAGGGTAATTATATTAGTTGGTGTTTGACTAAGGTGCTACAGCAAAGAGATCCTTCCGTTGGAAGTTTGTCCCTCTAGTCACCATCCAGGGCGGGCTCTGTTCCATGGGCTTATCTGGGGACCCAAATGGACGAGGCAGCTCCACCACCTGCATCATGGGGCTCCCTTTCTGCTGCCCTCCTTATCCTCGTCCAGGTGGTCAAATGGAGCTCACCGTGGTGGGAAAGGGGGAGAATGGGTTTTGGAAGACAGTTCGTAGCTGACCACAGTAATGTATGCAGAAGTCTTATTATTCAGTAAGTTCTCCATAAATCATGGCTGTTACTGCTCCCGGAGCCTCCAACCTGGTGGGAAGGGTTGGCAGTGAAAGCAGCTGGTAAGAAGGGAGAGGGTGACAAGCCAAAGCTTAGAAGAGACGATCTGAAAACAATGGGATGGCACCACGGTACTCCACATTTTCTCTGGCATTTGCTGTAATTGGGTTCTTTATTGTTTATAAGTAGAAAGGGAGGTTATTGTGTATTATTGGCCAGGAAACCCAGTGAAAGTATTAAGTAGAGAGTCTTAATTATTTTTCATTTCTCATTAGTCATATGTAGGGTGAGGAAGCAGTGTCCTAATCACCTTTCAGGGAGGAAAGCAGGACACCTAAGAAGAATTAGAAAGCCGTTTCAGAACTTGCCCTGAAGTTATATTGAAGTTCCAGAAACTTCACAGCTTAAGCCCCGTGTGAGAGGGAATTGAGGAAACTGAGACTCAGGCATCTGTGTTGGGAAGCTCTAAGAACTGGGGTCTCTGACTTTTTCCGGGGTAAGGGAAGGGAGAGTTTAAAATGTCAGACTTGGACTGTGGAGCTGGTGGCCGACATACATCTATGTTTTTCTTCAAAATATGAACCTTTTTTGGCTCTTCTTTTTGACTTCCCTCTATGAACACCGTAAGAGGTAACACTTCTCTGAACCTGCAATGTGCTCTAGAGCTGTACGTGCACTAAGCCTTCCCAGTCCCACAACAGCCCACTTTGCTGGTGAAGACACCGAGACACAGCAACGTTAAGGATCTTGCCCAAAGGTAGCAGAGTCAAGGTTCAAACCTGGGCCGTCTGGCTGTGAAGTCCGTGCCCTTCACCACAGCGGGGTCCCATCCATTACGTTTCTTTGTACAGAATGATATAACTCCAGGACTGAAAGTCATTTTCTTTCACCCAGCCTGCATGGCAGTTCAGGTCTTCTTTGCTTTTCCTTGCATCTGGGTTTTCCGCTTATTGTGTCTGTATGATTCTTATTTTATTTGTGTGTCTTTCCAGCTGTGGGCACCGTGATGTGATGTGTCTATAGGTCTGTTGTCCCAGAGGGGTCTTAGGCTGGGCATGTGGATGGCATCTGATGAATAACAGTCTTTGTAAGAGAGAGAACGATATGTTAGAATACTAGAAACATAAGGAAGTAGGGTTTTATTTTTTCAAGAAGTTATCCTTGCAAAAAGAGAACGGGAAGTTTAAATGGAAAGAATGTTGCCCTGGCCCATGTGGCTCAGTAGACTGAAGAGTCACGGGTTCATTTCCTAGTCAGGGCACACACCCAGGTTGTGGGTGCAATCCCCGGTCAGGGAGCATATGAGAAGACAACCAATCGATGTTTCTCTTTCTCTCTGTTCCTCTCTCTCTGAAAGCAATGACAAAAATGTCTTCAGATGAGAATAAAAACAAAACAAATAAATTGAAAGAATGCTGAGGCTCTTTCTAGAAAATAGAAAGTATATTTATGTGACTAGCATGGCTCTTGGGGACTTCTAGGTAAATTGTTTCTGGAATAAAAAGTATGAGGGTGAGAGTAAGCTTACAATCATCCCGAGAATATTTTTGTGTGTCATGCTAAGGGGTTTGGGTATTAGGAAGAGCCTTTGCAGGATGGACGGTGCATTAGAGGGGCAGCAGTTGGGGAAAGGAGACCAGAGAAGACTCAGGTAAGAGCCGAGGTGGCAGATAATGAGGGTATGGACGAGGCAGGGGGAGTATGAGCTGGGAGGTCGGGCAGTTTTGACAGGTGGAATGCGCTGGCCCCCCGACCCTAAGGCATGAAGAAGTGGGGAGGACCATGTGGGCACCCCCACCCGCTTCCCCATGTCCCATTTTTCTCCTTTGTGCTGTTGGAGGCGCCGTAAACAGAAACAGTTGCACTGCAGGTGGGGCCAGCTTGGGGTCTGGACATTGAAATCAGTTTGCAGCTCTTACTTGACTTTCTTGTGAGAATCTTGGGTCAAGACAGTCAGTAGGCGCTTGGGCGAATAATGTAGGTATTGTTCAGGCAAGCCACCTCCTTGTCCGCATGGACTGAGTGGCCGTCCAGGAAGGGCTGACAGCCAGCTGGCAGGCACCAGGTGGTCAGACTGGGCGTGTCTTAGCGCCCGTTCCAATCATGCCTCAGCAGGGGCATTGCTGAATACCCTTCCCTCTCCCTGGGTCATGCAGATATAAAACTTTCCAACTGTTGTATTTTGTACACACAGAAAAGTACACGCCAGAATCTACAGCCTGAAGAATCATCACACAGTGAACACGCCCGTGTTACCACCTCCCACATCACCCCTTCTCACGCCCCCTCTCAAGAGCCCTCCCTCCCTTTGCCCCAAACTCACTGCCATCCTCACATCTAACAGCATAGGCTAGTTTTGCCTGATTTTAAACTTTATATAAATGGAGTAAAAAATGATATACCCTCTGTCTGGCTTCTTTTGGTGAGCATTGTGTCTGAGATTCACTCATACTGTATATCACAGTAGTGTGTTGATTTTTGCTGCTGTATACTATGCCATGGCCTGACCATTCCATGGCTTATTCATTTACTGCCAACATATAGGACTGGTACTATTATGGGCTGCCGCTTAGGCCCCAAACAGGATTTGGTGTCAAGAGGACCTGATGCTCAAGTCTTCACTGCTGCAGTGTCTGGCAGTTAGACGGTGACCTGCCAAAAACTCTTGCTCTAATGATCTGGAGAGGGCATGCTTGCCCATCTCTTTTGGACTCCAGGAACCAGCCTTCAGTGAGAAACCCCACGCTGCCCTTTCCCTCTGGCGTCTCCCAAGCAGTATTTATACTTTTACCGTAATTTATGTAATCAGCGTCCCCTGGAAGGACATTTAAGTTTCCAATGTTTTGCAGTTACAAACAGCATTGAAAACTAAACTTATAAATTAACTTTGGGAGAGTTGATAGCTTTATCATGTTGAATAGTGGTTACTTTAGGGAAGTAAAATTTTATTCATTTCAAGGGCAGATGGTAATACCCATTTAGTCTAATATCTTATAGCATAGTAGAGACACTCTAGGTGCTTGATGTAAAAAAAAGGGAATTAGTAAATATGAACAGTTTTCTTAAGTTAGATTAGCTTTCCATTTTATTTACATGAGTAATTTACTAAGCAAATATGTTTTGATCAATACATTTCAGCTGGCCCACAAAAATATGTTGAAATAATTAAATGAAAAAATTAGCATGAAAGCACTTAAACTGCAAAGCATGGTCCAACATAAGGTGTCAGCAGAATATGCACAGTGACCAAGGCAGTGCAGAAAACGGTGTTAGGTTCAGCTCAGCAGCAGGCGTGGCCTGGGCCGGAGAAGAGAGGACATGAGGACCTCTGCTGCGTGGAGAACAGGCGCATGGAGAGTCTGCCTGATGAGGAATGGAATTCTCTGACACGGCGCTTCTGCTAGCGAGAATCCCTTCAGGCTAGGAAAGGCTGCCTGGGCAAGTGCCTGAGTCTGCCCCCTGGGGCAGGTGGCCCACCATCCATGCCAGGCACTCACAGGTGGCATAGCTTGTGTATTCCAAAGGCAGAGCTTGACCCTGAGGCTCTCCGGGGACATCCAGCAGCCGGCGCGTGGGGGCTTCTGACTTGCAGAGGTGAAGGTTCAAGCACCACTCTTTAAGGCCATGATCTCAGCCTTCTGATCTTTGGGCTACAGGCTTGTCTTAGGCTGCTGTTCCTGCCCAACTCCTCTGTCTGGAATAGATTGAGGCTGATTTCTGATCAGTTTTCTTCTGGCAGGGGTGCCTTTTCTGGAAAAATAGAGCCGGCTTCTGTTAGTCCTGAGGACTCCAGCTTTGGGCTCCACGCTCTTCCCTTGGCTGCTTATCCCGAAGAGACCATGAGGATAGTGATTTGTGTGTTCTCCCTCTTCTTCGTTGCTCGGGGCAGGGGAGACAATTTCTGCCTGCCTTTTGCTTGATGTTTTTCATCTCTGACCTGGATATAGGGACCAACGTCAGATACAGAGTTCAACTTTGAAACCGTAGCCAGTCCCACCAGCCTGTGGGGTCCTGCTAGCCTCAACGCTTCACGATGATTCCATTTACTCGTCGTTTATCTACATGAGGTTGTGTAGGGAGGAACGGCGGCCATTTCCAGCTTGGCAGTCATCCCTGAGGACCTGGGGAGGTCGCCAGCTTCACAACTTCACAGCACTACTTCTGTGACTTTGCCTAGCATTGTCCCTTGTGATAGTCTCCAAAATGGGCTGTGCTCAACTACAGTGGGCACAGCTGAACCTTTGCAGTGCCATAAAAACACCCATTTTACACATGAGGAACTAGCTGTCTTTTAGTAATCCAAGTTTCAAATGTAAAACAGAGGCACTCACTAACTTTTGTTTTGAAAACCATATGTTATTGTTGTTATTATTATGTTTAAATAGATTAATAAGTATTTTACATTTTCTCCATTTTTACTTCTAAGACAAAAATATTGATAGGTAGAATCCATATAAAGAAAAGCCCATTGGAGTCCTCAAAGTCTGAAAGAACGTAGAGGCTCCTGAGCCCAAAACGTTTGAGAACTGCTAGGCTAAGGGTGATCAGAAGCACCTTCCAGTGAGGGGGCATCAGGGCCAGGTGGGCGGCCAGGTCTGAAAATAGGAAGGGAAACCAAGATCACATGTGTAAATAGTGTCGTTTTGCCTCAGCATGATCTGATAGGACCTATTTTCTACTTCTTTGATCATGGTTTTATAGTAATGTTCTTCTTTGTCTGAATTGATTATTTTAAATCTATATAATGTAATCACCTGCCCAAAGGGACAGTTCTGACTCTTGCTTCCAGGGGTTTGAAATTTGTGGGGCAGCCCAAATTTTATATATTCTACCCCGCTTTCCTGTGGGCACCATTGTCCTTGTGAGACTTTTTATTTCAGAAAACATGTCACCAACTGTTTGAGTCTGTAAATTTGGAGATTCTACATTTATTTTTAAATTTTTGAACAAACCTTTAAGTTTTGAATAATTTTAGATTTACAGAAAAGTTACAAAGATAGTATGGAATGTTCCCGCATGCCCCTCACCCAGTTCCCCTTGTTCACATCTTACATGACCATGGCGTATTTGTCAAAATCAAGAAACCAACATTGTATATTACTATTAATTAAACTCTAGACTTTATGTAGATTTCAGTAGTTTGTCCACAAATGCCCTCTTCCTGTTCTAGGATCCAGTCAGTCCAGAGCACCACACTGCATTTAATTGTCAAGATATTCCAGTCTCCTCTGGTCTGTGGCTGTTTCTCAGTCTTTCCTTGTTTGTTTGTTTGCTTGTTTGTTTTTTAATGACCTTGACACTCTTTAGGTGTATTGGCCAAGCAGCCTGTAGAAGGGCCCCCAATTTTGGATTTTCTGTTGTTTTTCTTGGGATGAGACTGAGGTTAGGTTTTTGGGATGAAGGCCACAGAGATGAAGTGTCCCATCATCACATTGCATGAGGGGTACATGATACCCGCACAACATCACTGGGAAGTTAACTTTCAACATTGGGTTAAAATAGTGTTTGCCAGATTTTCCCGCTGTACAGTTAATACTTTTTCCCCATGTCCTACTATATTCTTGGGAAACGAGTCATTAAATCTAGCCCACTCTCAAAGAGTAAAGAGTGGGAATTAATCTCCATCTCTTGTAGCAGGGAAATAGCTGCAGATACTATCTGGAATTCTAAGAAAGATTTTTCTCTTCTTCCATTTTTATTTATTTGTTCAATCATTTATATCAGTATGGTGTATTTGTCAGGATTCTCCAGAGACACAGAAGCAATAGGACATATATAGCTATTGGTAAGAGGAGATTTATTATAGCAATTAGTTCACGTGATCATGTAGGCGAGCGGTCCCTCAGTGTGCCATTCACAAATAGGAGACCCAGGAAAGCCAGCGGTATAATTTAGCACAAGTCCAAAGGCCTGAGATTAAAGGGCTAATGGTGTAAGTTCCAGTCTGAGTCTGAAAATCCAAGAACCAGGAGGACCAGTGTCCCAGGGCAGGAGAAGATGGATGTCCCAGCCCAAGCAGAGAGAGTGAACTTGTCCTTCCTCTGCCTTTGTGTTTTCTTCAGGCTCTCAACAGAGTCTTCACTCAGTCTCCTGGTTCCGATGCTCATCTTCCCCAGAGACACCCTCATAAACACACTCGGAAATAATGGCTTATCACTATCTGGGTATCCCTCACCCCAATCTGTTGACACAAAATTAATCATCACAGTATGGATTCATATATTTATTTTATACTTTGATGTATACTTTGATGCTGTTCATTTTGTTGCTTAAATTTTCTGCTTGGGCCTCCCGGAGTTCTTTCAGATTGGTTCCTGTGTCCCTTTGACATGCCCCCATCTTTTAGTATTTTGAGCACTTCTTTATGTTCTGATACTACAAGGTGCTCCAAGCTTATTTTGTATTCTCCCCCTCCTGGTCTTAGAATCAGCCATTTTTCCTGATTCCTTTTATTGGAGAATAGTATAGAGAAATCAAGATCAGAGCAGCGGCTGCGCTTGTTACTATTGGGATGTCATTACTTCTAAGCCCTCTCAACAGAGCTGTGCCTATACGTATATATGATGAGGTCTGTCCAGAAGAAGTCCAGCCACTGTTAATATAACAAGAATGGTTTGCGTCACACCAGTGTAACCTGGCAGCCAAAGAGAGTTGACTGGAATGAGCATTTGTGAACAATGACGGCTTCATTGTAGTAGTCAGTGACAGCGGTAGATGCCATTAAGTGAGCATCTGTATTGTGTGGCTGTTACATTCAGAATGACTGAGCAGGTGGAGCAATGAATCTGCATCAAATTTTGTGTTAAGCTTGAACTTTCCTTCATGGAAACTATTTGATTGATTCAGAAGGCCGTGGCTATGGGCAACTGGTGATTGGAAGCCTCATCGTGACAACATGCCTCTCATTTTGAGCAGAGTTTTTTTGTGAAATATCACATCACCCAGGTGACTCAGCCCCGCTATAGCCCAGATTTGGCACCCTGCGACTTCTGGCTTTTCCTAAAACTAAAATCACCTTTGAAAAGGAAGAGATTTCAGACTGTCGATGAGATCCAGGAATATACGATGGGGCAGCTGATGGTGATTTGGAGAACTGTGTGAGATCCCAAGGTGCCTACTTTGAAGGGGACCGGAGTATCATTGTCCTATGTACAGTGTTTCCTGTATCTTGTATCTTCTTCAATAAATGTCTCTATCTTTCCTGTTACACACCTGGATACCTTCTGGACAGACCTCATATACTAACCTGTGTATACAGACATATCTATGATTATTTCTGTATTTATCCATCTGAATATATATTAAGCTAAACATGCGTCATTCTTAACGCTTATGTCAAGCTTATGTCATATCATAAACATAAGCTTACATTCTTTTTTTTATTCCATAGGTCAGATATAATAACTTGCTTTCCTTCATTTTTCAGATACCAGGTATTTCTCTATTTCACATGTGCCTTCCAGAACATCTCCTGTGGTATCCACTACTTGGCTTCGGTGTTTATGACAGTGCTCCCCAAGCATACCTGCATGCCCCCAGGCAAAGTGACTCGGGTTCTGTTCCACAATGCCTCCATGTGGAGGATGGACGACATCTGGAACCTGTTTACCTTAAGGCACGAAGATCACATTGTTGTGCAGCTAGAGGATGATGAGATCTGGGAGCTCAAAAGTTGTCAGAGGTTCCGGCGGGATAACAAGTCGAGTTTGAACTACGAATATAATGGCCATAAAAGTAGCTTTCCTTGTTTGGATGGCTACATCTATGACAAGAGCAAATGGGACAGCACTGTGGTGACTCAGTGGGACCTGGTCTGTAACCGAGAATGGTTTGCAAGGCTGATCCAGCCTACATTCATGTTTGGAGTCCTGCTCGGAGCGCTGATTTTTGGCTACCTTTCTGACAGGTAAAAATGAATTATTTAGCACTGTTGCATTGGTGTAAGGGTTATTTTCCTGTCTGGTTTTCCTAGGGGACAGGGAATTATGTTAAAATTTTTCATCATTTTCATGCTTCCTATCTACATACCTACCTCCTTGCTAATCTGTTAAATAACATTCACAAAATAACATACTGATAAGAGGATGGGTTGTGAAGACAGTTTGCCTGTGTTCAAATCCTGGTTCTACTTACGAGCTATGGCCCCTGGGCAAATCACCTTACCTGTGTTTTAAAATCTGGTTTGTAAGCTGGAGACGAAAATAACAGCACTCACCTCAAAGAGTGATTGTAAAATTAATACAGAAGAAGTACTTTGGAGATATAACCACTCAACAGATACTAGTTGTTATTTTGAATATTCTTTTCTCATTAAATAGACTTGCTGTTTAAGAGGTGTAGCTTGGTTCTGCACAAAGACTTCAAATATTGGAATTATCGAGCATAGATAATAAAGTAACTATGTTTGCCATTCTTAAGGAAATGAAAGACAAGTTGTAAAACAGTGATAAAAGTCTGGAAATTGTACTTTAAATGACATAAAATTGAAGAATGACTACTTAGAACATCTAGAAAAAGTTTTAAAAGCGACCAACAAACTTTCTGGGTACTTTTAACAACTTATTATACATAGCTAAAGAAAGAATTAGTAAAATGGATGATAGTTCAGGAAAAAATAACAATAATAAAACTCAGAGAGAAAAAGAGCTGGAAAATAGATTGAAATTAATGGAAGCAGAGGAATAAGGTGTGGAACATGTTTAACATTATAAGCTAATCGGTGGAAGTTACCACATTAACATATTAGAAGACAAAATTCTTATCACCAACTCAGTAAAAACAGGAAAAGCATTTAATAAATTTTAAAATCCATTCATGATAAAAATTAAGAATAGAAGAATGCCTTTCCTGATAACAAGTATTTACAAAAAGATCTACCTCTGGCAGGATAGCTTGGTGGTTAGAGCATTGTCCCAATACACTAGGGTTGTGGGTTTGATCCCAAGTTGGGGCACATGCAGGAATCAACTGGTGAATGGATGGACAGGCAGAATAACAAACTGATATTTCTCTCTCCCTTCCTCTCTCTCTTTCTTAAATCAATAAATAATATTAAAAAATGGCATTCAAGGCTCAAATGAGATTGGGAAACATTTGTGTGTAAGGCCAACAATCTACACTAGTGTTGTATGGGGGCAGAGAAGACCAAGGGTGTGAAGATGACACTTCCCTATTGCTCACATATCTTCTGTTCTGCCAAGCAAACCTGTTGGCTGGAATCTCAGGACTACATTCTTTTGCCTTAAAACTCTCTGTCAGAGACAACTCACAGGGAGAAAATATATGCAAGTTGTATATCTTAATAAGGGTCTAGTATCCAAGATAAATAAATAACTCTTACAACCCAGCAATAAAAAGACAATCCAATTTAAAAATGGCATGGGATTTGGATAGATATTTCTCTAAAGAATATATACAAATGTCTAATAAACACATATAAAAAAGTTTAATGCCTTTAATCATTAGAAAAATGTAAATCAAAATCACAATGAGATACCCCTGAACACTCACTGGGATGGCAGTAATCAAAAAGAAAGACAATAGTAAGTATTTGGAGCAAGTGGAGAAATTGGTATGCTCATACATAGCTGGTGGGATTGTAGAAACAGGGCAGCCACTTTGGAAAACAGTTTGGCAGTTCCTCAAAAAGTTAAAACTTGGAATTATCATTTGACACAGCAATTTCACTCCGTAGTGTATACCCAAGAGATTGAAAACATAAGTTCATACAAAATCTTGTTCAGGGATGGTCATGGCAGCATTATTCATAATAATCAAAGAGTGAAACAACCCAAATGTCCATTAGCTGATGAATAGATAAACAAAATGTGGTATGGTCATACAATCGAATGTTAGTCATAAAAAAGACTGAAGTACTGATATGTGCTACAACATGGATGAACCTTAAAAACAATGCTAAGTAAATGAAGCTGGACACAAAAGGTCATATATTATGTGACTGGATTTATATAAAATGCCTTGGAATAAGCAACTCTATAGAGACATAAAGTAAATAGATTAGTGGTTGTCAAGGGCTGGAGGGAGCAGAGAATGATGAATAATGGTTCCTGGGACAGCTCCTTTTTCGAGTGATGAAAATGTCCTGGAATTAGACAGTGGTAAGCGTTGCAGAACTCTGTGAATGTGCTAAAAACCACTGAATAGCATCCTTTCAAAAGCTGATATTTATGGCGTGTGAATTACATCTCACTTTTTAAAAATCTGTCAAGAATATAATTGTTTTTTACTTGTCCTTTAGGCAAAGAAATACCCCTCTAAATTATAAAAATAGAGGGCAAATAAACACCTTAATCTACGAGCAGAATGTACAAGACCTGTCTTTAGAGGGGGCAAGAGCTGCTGTCCCCTTGGGGGGGGCAGCCAGCCCTGCAGGGAGGATGATCCAACAGATCAGAGTGGAAACCCTGGGAGGGAAAGGACCAATTCTCCCTCCTCATCCCTGAAGTCCCAGATTAGAGGTCTTCTGGGGATCGTCCAGAGGGTTCATATAGGTATATTAGCAGTTCAGGTAGAGGCCTCTCCTTTTCAATGAAAGATTTGCCTCTTGAAAAAGTGAAGTGTTTGTTCATGATCCGCCCAAAATGAATGCATAACAACGATCAGATACATAAGCTATTAGTAATATAGGTAACACTCATTGTTCATGGATTGGGGTAGATATTTAAACTGTTAGGACTGTACTTTGCTTTCTTCCACTGTTGCCTCTTCTTTTTCAGGGTGGGACGACGATCTGTCTTGTGGTTCACAAGCATTGGCATGTATTTGTTTGGCATAGCGGCAGCGTTCACATTGGATTATTACAGCTTCATGCTTGCACGTTTTCTTCTTGCTATTGTGAGTTGTGTTTTTTTAACCTCCTTAGTTCTGCCACAGTGTTTTCACATTACAACTTAACTCTCTTAGGTGTGCTTATTTAGAGTCTAGGGCAAGAGATCAAGGATTAACCTTTGTTCTCTGCCTTGCAGAGGTTTTTCTGTGGAATATTAATGTACTCTGTTTAGAATGGAACTCAGTAAAATGAAAAATTGTTGCTTACTAAGCAGAAACTTTTTGTTTGACTCTATGCCTAGCACGTAATCCACATTCCACAATTAATAAGGCATTATTTTATTTCTGAACAATTAATTATATTTGTCTAGTCAGGCCCTGCCGGCACTTATGAGCCAAACAGATGGTTAGGGTATATTGTTAAGGAGTCATTTGTGTATTACATAGTAAGAATGCAAACAGGAAGACATTAGGCCTTTATGTGATAAGGAACGGGATTCTAGTGGAAAGGATATGAGTTTAAATACAGCTTTGTCATATATCGGCTTCTTAGCTGTGTGATCAAGGGAAAATATGTTATCCTCTTTGAGTTTTAGTTTCTAAACTGTAAGCTGTAGAAAATTATCCCTGTTTCACAGGGTTGTTATCAGGGTTCAATGAGATTCGAGTAAACATCTGCGGTACAGCCCCCAGCAAGGAGTAGGCACTCCGTACAATGGGGACTGTCATTGGAAGTAAACCAGTGAATGAGGATGGAGGATGTTGCTAACACACTTGGTGAGGCTTTCACACAGGTTCCAAATTATCAAACAACAGCAGTAGTGCTTCTGTTTGAAGGTCACTGGTCAAGGATAATGGAGTAAAGTTTTTATCTGCAGGAAGAGCTTGTAATCTTGCTGAGCAGAGAGAAGGGCAAGTGTCCTGTCTCGCCAGCATGGATGATTCAAAGGTCCAGAAATTAATATCTACAACAAGGAGTTTCAAAAGAGTATAATTCAAATATTAAAGGATAAAGAGAGGCATTTGAGGAAATCAGTGGTGTTCTAGAATAATTTTGCAAAAATTAATTTTATGATTTGTGTTATAAAAGTCAAATGTGGAATAAAATTTTGCAGTAAAAATTCTCATCCTTTCACCCCTCCCCAAATCCATCATTTGATATATTCTTTTTGTATTCCAAGAATGATCACCTATTGCTATTATATTCTGGTTTTTGTTAAAGATAGTCCTATTTTCTTTTTTTTGTTTTTTTTAAATTTTTAAATCATGTTTATTCTATTGCAGTTGTCTCTATTTTTCCTGTCTTGCCCCCTCCACCCATCCCACCCCCACCCCCCTCTCCCACAGTCAGTTCCCACTCTGTTGCCCATGTCCATGGGTCATTCATACATGTTCTTTGTCTAGTCCCTTCCCCTTCTTTCCACCATTGTCCTCTTTCCCCATCCCCTCTAGTCATTTTCAGTCTGCTCTATGTTTCCATGCCTGTGGTTTATTTTGCTCTTTAGTTTATTTTGTTTAATAGATTCCACTTATAGGTGAGATCATATGGTATTTGTCTTTCACCGACTGGCTTATTTAACTTAGCAAAATATTCTCCAGTTCCATCCATGTTGTTGCAAAAGGTAGGAGTTTCTTTTCTTTCTTTCTTTCTTTCTTTCTTTCTTTCTTTCTTTCTTTCTTTCTTTCTTTCAATTTTATTTATTTTTTAAATGTCAAAATCCATTATAAAATACTAAAAATTTAAATCCATTATAAAGTGTCAGCAATTAAAACAACATGACACCAACATAGAAATAATCAAGTAGATCAATGAAATATATTGAGCATTCTAGACAGAAACATATATATCTGTCTAACAATGTAATATATTATTACATTGATATTTCAAATCAATGGGGAAAATAAGGCTTATTCAACAAATAAGGTGCATAGACCACTGTTACTTGAAATAAAACAAATATAGAGCCCTATTTCACACATTATACAAGAAATATTCAGGTAAGTTAAAAATCATTATGTAAAATCTAAAGAGTTTTAGGGGAAAATACAAAATAATATTTTTCTTACCCTTAAGTAAAATATTCAAACCCAGAAGCTATAACAATATGTATTGACATATTGACTATATGACTATATTGAACATTTAATACTATATAGTAATATACATATAAAAAAGTTAAAGGACAAGTAATAGAATAGGAAAGTATTTGCCACACATCTGAAAAAGGGTTAATAGTTTTGTTTTGTTTTTTAGGGAAAAAGTTCTACAAACCTTTAATCAAAAAATGGATAAAGAATCCCCAAAAATCATTTAAAGCTTTTTTAAAATTAATAGAAATAGGCAAGAATATACAAAAAGAGGTTTAGTTTCAACAAATAATAAAGTAACTATTAAAATAACACAACATTGTCACAATCAGATTAATAAGTATTAAAAATATTGGTAATATCAAGTATTGCCAACTGTGAAAGAAAGTGTGTATTCATAGACTCTTTTTCTTCATCTTAAAGCAGTTCCTTTAGCATATGTTGCAATGCTGGTTTGGTGGAGATGTATTCTTTTAGCCTTCTTTTGTCTGGGAAACTCCTTATTTTGCCTTCCATTTTAATTGAGAGCCTTGCTGGGTAGAGCAGTCTTGGTTGCGGGCCTTTGCTTTTCATTACTTGGAAGATTTCTTGCCATCCCCTTCTGGCTTGTAGTGTTTCTGTTAAGATGTCAGCAGCTACCTTTACTGGGGCTCCCTTATATGTTACTGCCTGTTTCTCCCTTGCTTCCTTTAGGATTCTCTGTGTGTCTTTGATATTTGCCATTTTAATGATGATGTGTCTTGGAGTGGGCTTTTTTGGGTTCCTCTTGAATGGGACCCTCTGTGCTTCCTGGACTTGTGTGACTTTTTCTCTCCTCAAATTAGGGAAGTTTTCCATCATGACTTTTTCAAACAGATTCTCTATCCCTTGCTCCTCCTCTTCTCCTTCTGGTATCCCTGTAATACGGATATTATTACGTTTCAGGTTGTCCTGCATTTTGCTAAATGCCTCTTCATTCTTTCTTAGTCTTTTTTCATTTTCTTGCTCTTTCTGGGAGCTTTTTAGTACCTTATCCTCCAGCTCACTGATTTGTTCCTCTGCTTCATCTAGCCTGATTTCTATTCTTTCTACAGTGTTCTCCAATTTAGAAATTGTATTCTTCATTTCCTCTTGTCTCTTATTGATAGTTTCTATGTCCTTTTTCACCCTGGTATAATTTGCAGTAAGTTCCTCGTAGTTTTTTGTAATTGCCTATAATCTCACTGAGCTCATTGAGCTTCCTTAGAACCATTGTTTTGAAATCAATATCTGATAGTTTATCTGCTTCTATTTCATTTAGTTCTCTTTCTGGGGATTCCTCCTTTCCCTTCAACTGGGGGGTGTTTCTTTGTCTTCCCATTATTTGTGAGACTCTTTTTTTTTTTGCTTCTGCTTCTTAAATTGATCTCTCTTGATTTCCTGACTCTGTAGTGTGAACTTCTATGGTAGGAGACCGCTGTTTTTTTATTTCTGGATCTGCCTCTGATGATGACTGTCTGACCTTAGGCAGTCTGTTTGAGACTTCCAGGAATCTACTGTCTGTGGTTGTCTCCTTCAGCTGTTAATCTAGTCACTCTGCACTCAGCAGGCCAGCTTAGACACCACAGAGCGGGGCAGAGTCCCTCCTTGGGGGCAGGGTTACTAGGTCCTCTCATGCTGTTGCCCCTCAGGGAAGTGGTCTGCCTGAGCAAGAGGGCTGCTGCCACATGGGGGATGAGTCAGCACCAGGATCCTGCTGGCTAGTCTCTCAGTTCCCTCCCAAAGCCTTTTTCCCTAGTCTCTCCTCAGGCATCTCTAGACCACTCTACCCCCTCATTTGCTGGAGACCAGGGTAAGGGGCTGCAAATAAAAATTTATGCATTGGCCCTTTAAACGGCTCTTTGTGTGTCCAGCTGCCTGTTTCTGGCAGAGAGCAACACTGCCACTTTTGCAGCTGGTTATTACCTGTGTACTTTTGGGCTCTGGTGCTGTAGACTGGAGATGCCCGCTTAAGGTTTAGAACCCACTCATCTCAGGGGGATCCAACTGGCCATTTCAATATCCTGCTGGTGCTGCCACCCCTGGGTGCCCCACCCACCTTCCTGAGTCTCTACTGCACCCCTTACCACTTAGGTTGTGCTAAAGCTGATTCTTCTGTCTGTGGGAGGTAATAAGGCTCCTCTCTTGCTATTGTTCAGTTGTTTGTTCCAGGTGGTTTCCTCACAATTTAGTTGTAATTCCAGATTGGTCCTGGGAGGAGGTCAGTGTAACTTCTACTCACTCCTCTGCCATCTTGATCCTCTCTCAATTCCTTTTTTATCCCCTATTTTAAAAATATAGTTTTTTTTCTCATTTTTAAAAATTGTGGTAAGAAACACATAACAAAGTTTACCATCTTAACTTTTTAAGTGTACAGTTCAATGATGTTAGGAACAGTCAAATTGCTGTGCAACTATCACCATCATTCATCTCCAGACTGTTTTTCATCTTTGCAAAACTGAAACTCTGCACCCATTAAAAAGCTCCCCATTCTCTCTATCCTACCATAACCCCTAGCAACTACCATTCCACCTTCTCTATGAATATGATTACTCTAGGTACCTTATTATAAATACAGCCATGCAGTATTGGTCTTGTTCTGATTGGCTCATTTCACTTAACTTAATGTTTTCAAAGTTTATTCATGTTATAGCATATGTCAAAATAGTCTTCATTCTCCCTTGTCAAGGCTGAATAATATTGCATTGTATGTATATACCATATTTTGCTTATCTGTCTATGAATGTCTGGATTGTTTCCACATTTTAACTACTGTGAATAAGGCTGTTAAGAACATGGATGTACAGATATCTCTTTGAGACCTTGCTTTAAATTCTTTTAAGTATATACCCAAAGTGGGATTGCTGGATCATATAGTAATTCTATTTTTAATTTTTTCAGGAATTCTCATACTGTTTTCCTTAGGGGTTATACCATTTTACATTCCTACCAACAGTGCACAAGGTTTCGAATTTCTCTACATCCTTGTCAACACTTACTATTTTTTGTTTTTTTGATGTAGCCATCTTAATGGCTATGAGATGATACCACATTGTGATTTTGATTTGTATTTTCCTAATGATTAGTGATGTTGAGCATCTTTTCATGTGCTTCTTGGTCTTCCGTGTATCTTTGAGAGCCAAGTTCTTTGCTTGCTCATTTTTGAATTGAATCGTTTAATTGTTTTTTGAGTTTTAGAAGTTCTTTCTATATGCTGGATAACTTTCTCTTACCAGGTGTCTGGTTTGCAAATATCTCATTCTGTAGGTTTCCTTTTCATTCTGGTGATAGTGTACTTTGATGCAGAGAAGTTTTAAATTTTCATGAAGTCCAGTGTGTGTTTTTTCTTTGTTGCCTGTCAACATAAAGTTTTAGTCAAATCTTCTTTCTTCTCACTAGTTCCCACAATGTTTTGTCCCTGTTTAAAATTTAGGATTTAATAATAAGGACTTCCTGCATAGGGATAAATTGATATATACACTTAAAAGGAACTGAGAAATAGGTTCACAGTATAAAGGAATATTTAAATGAAACAAAAGGTAGTGTCTAACATTTATTCATACATAACCTCTCAAGTTTTGCTGTTGGGGGGAGAGAAGCTGGAGGAAGATGAAAGGACCCATTTAAAGATGAAGGATGGATCAGATTAAATGCCCTTTTATATATGTGGTATGGGTTCCAAAAAACAATTTTTTGTCATTTTCTTTCTTGTCTCTGTGTCATTTGCTAAAAGATCGGACCCCTCAGTCATCATAAATGTGAACTTAAATCTGGACCACCCTCCCCTTTTGTTTTTCAGGTTTCAAGTGGCTATCTAGTGGTGGTGTTTGTCTATGTGACAGAATTTATTGGCAGGAAGGCTCGGACGTGGGCGTCCATGCACGTGCATTCCTTTTTTGCGATTGGAACAATGGCGGTGGCTTTGACGGCCTACTTAGTCAGGACCTGGTGGATCTATCAGCTAATCCTCTCCACAGTGACTATCCCCTTTGTTGTGGTCTGTTGGATGCTCCCGGAGACCCCTTTTTGGCTTCTTTCAGAAGGAAGACATGAAGAGGCACAAGTGATAGTAGATAAGATGGCCAAGTGGAATAGGACAAGCACTTGTAAGCTGTCAGAACTTTTATCACTGGATATATATGGTCCTGCTAGTAAGCAGCCTTCTAAAATTGAGGTGCACAAATTCTCAGATCTGTTTTATGACTGGAATATTGGAACAAGGACAGTTATTGTCTGGCTGATTTGGTTCACGGGGTGTTTGGGATTCTATTTCTTCTCCTTGAATTCTGTTAATTTAGGAGGCAATGAATATTTAAACCTCTTTCTCATGGGTAAGTAGTTAAATTATATTTAAGTGTAACAATGAAATGAAATTTCTGCCATGTTTTTAGTGCCTTTTTTTCCCTACAGGAACAATACTGCCAACTACAGGGTTATGGTCTCTTGTAGTGTTATTATACTACACTACATGTATATACTTATTTTTTTTTTAAATGCAAATAGAAGAATTTAGCGCTTTCTTTCTTTTCTGCTTATTTTCCTTGCTTGTTTCCTTCCTTGAAGCCCATCCTATCTCAGAACCCTCCTCAGGGGTAACTGCTCTAACATTTGACTTTGCACCCTTTCAGATCTCCATGCGTTTTCATGTATTTGTGCAGATAAACATTGCTTATTTTAACATGAAATATTGAATATGAAACATAAAGTGAGATCATTCACTGCATATTGCTCTTTGTACATTGTTTTCCTTTTAAAATGTAATATGTGTTGGAGATCTTCTGGTCTCTTTCTGTCTTTAAATATCCTTACTTTAAAAAGTTTAGTCAGTAAAAAAACTTAAATACATGTGACTATAATTGATGTTGCTGTGTTGCGTCCATTTCAGGAGCAGGTTAAAACTGGCTTCAGATATTGTTGTGATAGCTTGAGATGTGACTCCTAGTATAAACCAAATTTGCTTCAAATATGAGAGAAATAGTAGAGATCTATCAGCATTTGTTCATCTAGTTCCTGGTCATCTCCACGTAGGGCGCTTGTGTTTGGCATTCTCAGAAAATCTTGCTTTAAAATTTTTATACATACAAATCATCCCCACATTAAAGGGCTCTGCTGACATGTCTATTTTTGTTAGGAACAGTGAGAGAAGTCATTTTAAGAAAAAAACATTTACTCTCTTTTTGGTCAAACCAACAAGTTTGTCTTGACTTCGTCCCCACTGTATTTATCAATTTGAGCAATGAAGCGGTATTCCTAGAACAGAGCAGCAACCGGTAGGAGGATGGCATGGGGACAGGGTGTGGTCTGGGGTTGCTGAGGAAAGCTGGCATTTTACATCTTTATGATATGGTTTCTTAATTTTGACAGAGATATAAATTCTCAAGAAAGTGGGCACTCTTATAACTGTAAAAAGGCTTCCAAGACAAATCTACATCGTTTTATATTCTCTATTTGGATTTTTCACGTCTTTACCCTTTCAGTATTCCTGCTGACAAGTACTTAATTCCATGCTGTGAAATTTTTGAACAAGTTTTCATCTCCTGAGATGGTTTGGGGCTGGTGGGCACTTGAGCTCTGGTTTTGTGCCTTTTGCAGGGGTCATGTGTAGATAGGAGCAGAATGGGGCCCAAGTGCTTAGAGAGATAATAAATTATAAAGTAAAGAAAGCAGTGACCCACTGTCCTAATCCCAGAAGGGCTGGGCCTCATTGCTGGCCCCATTTCTGTCCCAGACACAGTCAAGCCAGAAATCAGGCGTAGTGTCAGCATCCTGACGCAACAACTCAGGGAAAGCCCGTGTAGTCCGCCTTCACTGTCTCTCCGGCTGTTTCACAGCTGCTGCCTGGCTTCGTTAGACTCCAGGGCACTGTCTGGTGGCTTTGCACACAGTCCTATGCAGGGGAGAGCTCTGAGTCTCACATGGAGGGAGCCCATCGGGGAGGAAGGCTGCAGGACAGGGGCTTTGGCCCACCAAGACCTCACTTCCATGCCCTGAGCTGTCACTTACTCGCTTGGCTCAAATCATTCACTCTTCTTAGTTGTTGAGTGGGGATGATAACCCAGGCTTATGCCCATGAGGCTCTTTTTTTTTTTTTTTTTAAATCCTTGAGGATGTGTTTATTGATTTTGAAAAAGAGCGAGAGAAAGAGAGAGGGAAAAATCCATGTGAGAGAGAAAGCCATTGATTGGTTGCCTTCTCAGAGCTCACATGCACGCCAACTGAGGATTGCATCTGCAAGCTGGGTATGTGTCCTGACTGGGAATCAAACCTGGGATCTTTTGGTGCATGGGACAGTGCTCCAGCCAACAGAGCCACCTGGCCAGGGCTTCCATGAGGCTCTTTTGAAGCCCACTGTCTTATCTGATCTTGAAAAGTGCTTGATGAACTCTTTAAACAACAACAACAATGAGTACAGGAATAGACGTGCCTACTGCTCTGAGCTGAAACTTGGACGTGATAACAGCGCCTGTGAAAGGGAGGCGTTGCCTCTGAAGCTGTTTATTGTTCACATTGATGAGGAAGACTGTCTTTCAAATGAGGCTCAGAATGTTGTTGCTGTTATTGTTATAACATATTTGTTTTTGTCTGAGCCATTTTTTTTTTCTGAGCAGCTTCAACTGAATTTAATTTTGGATGTACTACTAAGAATGTTCACTCAGAAAATATGTATCCACCTGCTATGGTGTGTTCCAGAACCCATGGGAGACATTTAGACCCACACCTGCCTCTCCAGGTGCCGGTCAGCTGCTGCGGACGAATGCACAAATGCCGCCACTCCTGAAGGGCAGTGGTGGGGAGTGTTCTGAGAGGAGACAGGCTCAGAAGGGGTGGGGGTGGGGCGAAGAGAGCTTTGAATTACAAGGAAGATCTGGGCTGGCTCCTTCCCCAAGGGAGGTTGTTGGGTTGACTCGGTTTTGTTGAGAGACCTTGCTTGCTCCCTGTTTGGTTCTGGCTGATGGATGATAAAGCTTTTTTGTTCTGGCACTAAGATTCAAATTTTGGTTCTTCAAGGAAAGGAGTTTTATGTCATTTATGGATTCAGCTCTTTAATTTCTGTTGTGGGGGAGTAAAAAGAAGTCCAAAACAAAGCTCCTGTTCATATGCATATTAGATTAAATTCATATTAGATTAAAAATGTTAACTTTTAGGTTTAAAATTCACCAAGCAGTTATCATTGGTTTATGAACTTAGCTGACACTGGATTTTCTACTTTAGTTTCTAAGTTTGAAGTTGCTGATATAAAAATTTCTCCCTAGTTCTGTCAAGCATGAGAAAAACTGGGACAACTGTAATAGCATAAACAATAAACTATAATTTAAATTTTTAAAAAAGAACATGCATGGGATCATCGGCATTAAAAGAAATAAACACCTAGAAAAAGAAGATCCAAAATTATCAATATTGCCTATTAATTTTACTGATTTATTCATTCAACAGGCCTGTCCTCCAGGCACCATGCTGTGTCCTTGGGGGCTTACAGCTTAGTGGGGGTAAGATTTCTAGGGCAGGAGATAAGTGCTGGGTAGAGGAAGTTAGCCTTCGCTAATTTCACAGGAAACATTCTCTGGGGAGTTAGAAGTGCTGGGCCTTGCTGCCTCTGGAGCACTGGGTAGTTCTCAGAGACCCCTCCCTGGAAGCAGAGATACTGCTGATCATTCCTTTTGGGGGATGGGTTACAAGGAGGGGTCCCCTCGTACAGTTGGACACCATGGCTTATTGAGGGCCCTTTTGCTCAATGACAGGTGCAGTGGAAATTCCTGCCTATGTTTTCGTGTGCTTGGGGATGGACAGTATGGGCAGAAGAAATGTTCTGTTCCTCTTCCTCATGTCAGGCGCAGTTTTCTGTGGTGTGATTATGGTAATCCCCCCGGTGAGTTATTTTATGTTTTATTTAGAGAGTGATTCGTTATACTATGACAGTTTTGGGAGAATTTCAGCTTATTATAAAAAGTATGAAGATCAATTTAGATATATGGACAGAGTACATATTAATATTTAACAATATATTTTCTTTAAAAAACCCGTTCTTTCTCTGTTATATAGGAGAACATGCTCATTGTGGAAGACTCAAGGGAAAAAGAAATATATTTTTTAAATGCCCATTATCCCACTTCCCAGCGATGGCCAATGATGTATTTTTGTAAATACAGTAATGCTGATTGAAGAAAGCAGATACCTCCTAGTGATTATCATCTCAAACATTTATTCATTCAACAAACATCTATCCAGCATTTATTATGTGCCAGGTCCTATTCTAGGTGCTGAAGACACACTGTGAATCAAGTTTCTTAAGTATAACAAAGAAAAAGCAGGATGAGGAACAGGGAATGACTACATGCGGCGGGGAGCACGCCTGTGTACTGTTTTATTTCACCTAGGGTGATCAAGGGTGGTGTGCCCCTCAGAGAAGGTGACATTTGATCAGAAACCTGAAAGAGAGAGGGAGCCATCGAGACATCTGAAGGATATAATATCTTCTATTCAGGATCGTTCCTGTTTAAACAGTCTTGTTTTTTACTGTGCTAGCTTAGTAGTTGCCAATCTCTAGTATGCTCCCTGAGGCACTTGCATTTAACAATGCAGTTTCTTCATGAGAAGCACTGCCTTAAACCACTGAAAGGACTCACGTTCCCCTATTTCGGCAAGCCTCAACCCTTAGAATACCTCTTTTATCCAGAAATGTCCCCCCTCTTCCCCTCAAAATGTTATCAGAACCCATATTTGCAGTCTATTTGAAAAATGTGGTCACTATAATAATATTTTTTAGTTCTTTATTTAATTTTCTCCAGCAGTAGTACCTCAACATGTAGCCCAAGGTGTTTTAAGTTTTGTATATTGTTTGGTTTAAACTTAAGATAACCAGTGACTTCTTTTTAGAGTGATGCTCCACTTGATGATCAGGGTCAGTGAATCAAATGTTTTATGTCACTGAAGCTTCCAGGTGATTGATATACAACTGATACAAATGTAATAAAACTGCGGAGAACCAGGAGGTCTCCGCCAGTTTGAGGGAACTTCATCTGTCTTTGTTTTTAAGTAGTTTGCAGTGATATTTATTGAGTTGATGGCTGCCGCCTTTGCACTGGTAAAGTTCGGGGGAACCCCGGCCGCCTCAGGATCTCCAGTGCTTGAGCGCAGCAGTACCAAGGAAGACAGGAGAGCCGCTGATGGGGATTTCCGGCAGGGCACCCGCTCCTAACCACCGGTTTCTCCCCTCTAATAAAATTTCTGCTCACATGGTAGTGCTAACACAGTACACATTTTTTTAAGTCACAGTAATTGATTCAATCCACACTGTCTACAGTAGTAATTAAGGTGACAAGGTGACACTGGTCGCTTTAATAAAGGCATCCCCAAATCTCAGTGACTTCACATAATAGCTGTTTATTTCTTGCTCACAGGAAGTCTGATGTGTGTGTATGTGGCTGGTAGCAGTGGGAGTGAGGGAAGGGTGTTGGCTCCACGGGATCAGTCAGGGGCTCAGGTTGACAGAGGCGTGGCCATCCTCAACACAGGAACTCCAGGGTCACCCGGGTCTCATCATCCGGCTGGCAGCTAGCAGGGAAGGGATGAGATGGAACACAGGAGAACTTTGTGAGCCGCCGCTGAAAGTGAGACGCCTTGAGGAAAGCTGAAACTACGCTGGAGGCACTGAGCCATTTTGCTGTTGAGGAATGCATCAGCCAGTTGGGGGGATGGGGTGGAGAGTCTGTACTAACAGTTCAGTTATCACTTGCAAATTGCTTTCTGGAGATAATTTATAAGCCCCGAGATCACTACTGAAAAGGGCACGATTTTGTTTTTATGGTTCTTTGATTTATTCTGCTAGCTCAGTTCCAGGAGTGGGTGAGTTATTGGTGGAACCAGCATGTTTGGATGTATCAACTTCCAAAGCAGTTCTCCCAAGAGATGATGTTCTTTTATTATTTGGTAATTTGAAATCTCCAAGGCTTGCGGGGTTGGGGGGGGGGGGATGGCGGGGAGGTACAATAAAACTTTCCTCTAAACTGGAAAGCTTTTGCAGACCATGAGTAGAGTTTACAAAATAAATGCAAACAAATATAAAACTCTTCATTGTTCTTGAAAATACTGGAGGACTAGAAAGTTTTAATTAATAATTTTAAAAATTTTATATTTTTCTTTAAAATATTACTTCCGATGTTTTCTTTTGCTAATATGGTCCTTTCAGGATTATCATAATTGGACTGTGGTGGCATCTATAGCTGGAAAATTTGCCGTAGGGTCAGTGTTTGGCCTCATTTACCTTTATACAGCAGAGCTGTACCCAACTGTGATAAGGTAAGAGTAACTTATTTTTCTGTTGTTTTCCTATTATCTTTCACTTATGTATCATTTCATTATGTTTGGCTTTTGAGTATAAATGCTTTATTTTCATAGATACTACTTGAGCTCTGAGTTGGGGGTAGTTACAAGATGCTAATTTTGAATCTGAGGCTTTATCTATTCCTCATTAGCAAGGATAGTCAAGAAATAACGCTCAGTTATCCTAAAATCATTTTAAATCTTGAATATAATTGACTTATGCTGACTATCCATATGATTTGGCTAATTTTCTAAGGATGTGCCTCTTGATGTTCCAATGCTACATGAGTTTGTTAGGGCTGCCATAACAAACCACCAAAGCTGGGAGGCTCAAACAAGGGAGATTTACTTTCTCACACTTCTGGAGGCTCGAAGTCCACGATCAAGGTGTTTGGCAGGTTTGGTTTCTCCTGGAGTCTGGCTCCTTGCCTTAAGAAAAGATACCTATTCACAGTATAAAAGCACATTCTTCCCTTCCTGCTAGACATTTTATAAGGTTTCTTTAAACACCTTTTAACAAAAAGCACATTGAAATATTGCTTGATTTTTTTAACAATAAAATAAAATGTTCCATAGATATAAGTCTTGTGTTCTCTCAAATTCCCACTCCCGCAACCAAATTCCTGTTCTAGCAGATTGATGTTGTCCTCGATAATAGGCAATGAATATACATGAGGGCCTCATCTGCATACCAGATGAAGAATGTTTTACCCTTTTATGTCTTGAATTATCTGCATGCTTGTCTATACCACCATTTCGGAGAATGTGGATCTAAATCACAAGGGAATCTTGAAAAATTAAAGTAAATTTACAAATATATTAAATCAAGCTTAAGTTGTATTATTTATTCTCTGCTGGAGGGTGGACCGGGGTTCCAGGAAGTCGGTCCCTCACACTGGGTCGTCTCTGCTCCACTTGCCTTCCGCTCCTGCCGCCATCTGCCATAACTCTCCCCTTGTTTCAGGACGCAGGCCCTGGGAAGTGGCAGCATGGTGTCCCGTGCAGGAAGCATCATCGCCCCGCTCTCCCTTTACCTCTCTGGCATTTGGACCTCCACGCCCCAGGTGTTTAATTGGTTTGTAGAACTTTACCGAGAGAGCAGAAAGGCAGATCCGCTAATTGCCTTCTATATTGTTATTTATTGGAGGTGAATTTATCATTCAGTGATGGGTTTGTAAAAACCTTATTAACAGCCTACCAGACGGTAAGTAGGGTGGTAGCTGCTGTTTTCTTGTTGGCTGATTGCCTTCCATCCACTGGTGAGCTGAAGGTTTCAGCTCTGTCTGCCACGGACGGGCCTCTCCTTACCCCTGTCATGAAGCTGGGACCTTACAGGTATTATTTAATCCTTTCAACAGTCTTTTGGGACAGGTACTATTATTTCCATTTTATAGATAAGGAAACTGAGGAGCAGAAAAGTTAAGTAACTTGCCCAAGGTCACACAGGTAGCAAGTTACTGGGCAGAGTGGGCTTGGAGATTATACAAGGCTCGAGAACTTCATTTTTACTAGCAATGTCAAGAAAAAGGTCAAAAATGCATGCGAGGGAGGGAGGGCTGCTGATGGAGGAAAATCTGAGGGGGGAAGGGAAGGGAGAAGAGGAGAGAGGGGGGAGGCTGTGGCATCTAGGGAGGATGAAAGGCTCCTCCTGGTGGGGACGTGGGAGGTGGGAGGTGGGAGGTGGGAGGTGGGAGGTGGGAGGTGGGAGGTGGGAGGTGGGAGGTGGGAGGTGGGAGGTGGGAGGTAGGAGGTTCAGGAGGAGGGGATGGGACCTTGTTGGGATGTTTGTGGGGTGGAGGGAGCTGGCCAGGGCTGCAAGAGACCAGGTCTTCTTCTTAGAGTGAGAGGCGAGAATGGAGGGTTATGGATTTGTTTATTGCCTATTATTCTTACTACCAAGCTTAAAAAAAAAATCCACCTCTGTCTTGGATTTTCCATTTGATTCTGTTTCTGGTTTAGACTTGCTTAGTGTTTTTCAGGCCGTGACACAGGGCTCTCTGGGGGTTCATACATCAGTGGCTCTACCTGCTCTGTCTTCAGGCACCAGAAAATGCTTTTAAACATCCTTTGGAATGCCACTACTAGTGCTTCGAGGCTTACTCTTGCATTTCTAAGAAGTAGATTATCAGCATTCTGCAAAACAAAATAAAAAGCTGACCTCCCAGGGCACGTCTGTTATTGAGTACCTTCATCATGTCAGAGTTGCACTGTGTGTTTCTTCTTTCTCATTCTCAGAGGTTGTAAAAGCTCCCTGTATGTAGATTTATCAGAAAAACCATGCCTTAAGTTATTTTTAAGGGCTCATCCCAAGCAGTATTTTTTGCTACAGGAATTCAAATTATGTCAGGATGAAACACATTTTTACAGACTGTATAGAAATTTAGTTCTGAAATTCACCTAACATCTTCATAATGATCAATAGAGAATAGGTATGTAGACTTTCATTTTTAGCGTGATTTGCATTTTAAAGACAAACACCTGGTCCTACTCTGAAAGGTTGCCTATTATGTGTCAAAATTTGGAAAGAAAAGAAATATTTTTTTTTTAAACAAGAAATCAGATGGACACCCCCCCAGCCCGCCCTGCAAAGTAGCAGTTAATTTCTATTGCTCTTGTTTTGTTTCCCCTTAAATTCGGTAGGTTTTGGTTCATTGAAACATTCAATTGTGCATGCATATATGCATTTATTCATTCCCCACCATTTATTGAAAGCTGATAGCACACTGGTGATTGGGCCAGGGACAGGGCTGATTAAGACAGTCACTGACCATGAAGTCCCAACCCAAGGCTCCGTTGCTGGGTTTCTGCACAAGACAATGGAGCCTGGGAAAATGGGACTGGAGCTTTTTCCTCTGTGTAGCAGCTCCTAGGACAGTGCCTGCAAGAGTAATGAAGCAGGCAGTAACTGGGATTTATTGAGTAGGTGCTCCACGCTGGGTAAGGAATGAATGAATGAGTGATCGATCAGATTAAGCGTAGAACATGAGTTAAAGAACTCCCAATCCAACCAAAGTAACCAAAGGTCTCACCACGGAATAAAAATGTCCACTGGTATGTCAAATTCAACTCGATTTCATTCTGAAAAATGTTCAGAATTATCATTCTCTGAAAGGTACATTTATTTCTTGATGTGCCACTTACTGTTTTTTAAAATTCCTTCCAGTTGCTTGTCGGGATTTTGGCCTTTGTGAGTGGAATGCTAACCCTAAAACTTCCAGAAACCCTCGGGAAGCCTCTGCCAAATACTTGGGAGGAGGCAATCAAACTAAATGAGGAAAGGGGCAGCAGTTGAGGCAAATTATTTCGCACAACCAACAATACTGATGCTGGAAAAAAAACAGAAGAGATTAATTCAGGGGATTCTGGTCTTAGTGAATAAATGTGCTATGTATACCCTCTAGCACCTGAAATATTGTTTACTTTAATGCCTTTGTATTAGAGAAATATTATTCTCAAATCCTGCATGTCATTTGCATGTGTTTTAAAATTTTTTTGTAAGAAAGTTTTAAAATAATTGTTTTGTAAAAGAAATAAAAACTAAGATGAAAATGCTTATTTTTTAGACTGCTTTCTTATTGCCACAAAATATTTTTCCATATTTGTTCTTCTATGTCATTGTTTCTCAACCTTTCCCACTCACCACCTGAGGCAATATTCATACTCCAGTCAAGATGTGGGTCCTCCTGCTTCCCCCAGGGCTGTTACTGGGAAGAGGGTGCATGTGGGAGTGTGTTTCTTTTTTTTCTTTTCCATGATACGGATATATATGCATGTAATTTTCAGTTGTAGTTGACATTTAACATTATTCTATATTAGTTAAGTTAAAGGTTGCAGCATAGTGGTTAGACATTTATATAATTTATGAAGTATTTCCCCTGATTATTCTAATGCTTACCTGACACCATATTATTACAATATTATTCTTTTTTTTTAAAAAAAAGATTTTATTTATTTTTAGAGAGGGGAAAGGAGGGAGATAGAGAGGGAGAGAGACATCAATGTGTGGTTGCATCTCTCACGCCCCCTGTTGGGGACCTGGCCTGCAACCCAGGCATGTGTCCTATACTGGGAATCGAACCAGCAGCCCTTTGGTTCTCAGGCTGGTGCTCAGTCCACTGAGCCACACCAGCTAGGGCACAATATTACTGATTATATTGACTACGGTGTAGTTTACATCCCTGTGACTATACTATAACTATCCATTTGTACATCTTAATGCCTTCACTTTTTTCATCCAGCTCCCCAGCCTCCCATCCGGCAACCCTCAGTTTGTTCTCTGTATCCTTGAGTCTGTTCCTGTTTTGTTTGTCCATTTATTTTGTTCCTTAAATTCCACATGTAAGTGAAATCTTTGTCTTTGTCTAGTTTATTTCACTCAGGATAATATCCTCTAGGCACATCTATGTTATTGCAAATGGTAAGATTTTATTCTTTTTTATGACTGACTAATATCCCATTGCATAGAGATACCACATCATCTTATCCAATTGTCTATTGATGGGCACTTCGGTTGCTTTTATATTTTGGCTTTGTAAATAATGCTACAATGAACACAGGGATGCATATATCTTTTCAAATTAGTGTTTTGGATTTCTTTGGATATATACCCAGAAATGGAATTGCTGGGTCATAAGGTAGGTGGTTCTATTTTTAATTTTTTGAGGAATCTCCATACTGTTTTCCATAGTGGCTGCATCAATTTGCAATCCTATCAACAGTGCACAAGGATTACCTTTTCTTCACATCCTCACCAACACTTGTTGTTTGTTGATGTATTGATGACAGCCATTCTGACAGGTGCGAAGTGATGTCTCGTTGTGGTTTTAATTAGCATTTCTTTGATGATTAGTGATGTTGAGCATCTTTTCACATGTCTGTTGATCACCTATGTGTCTCTTTTTAAAAATGTCTATTCAGGTCTTCTGTCCATTTTGCATTTGGATTGTATGTTTTTGGTGTTAAGTTGTATGAGTTCTTTATAAATTTTGGATATTAACCTTTTATCTAATGTATCATGGCGAATATCTTCTCCCATTCGGTGGGTTGTCTTTTTTTTGGCTGAAATAAATTTATATATATATATATATATGTATATGTGTGTGTGTGTATAAAATTGATTATGCTATTACAGTTGTCTCATTCTTTTCTCCCCTTTATTCCCCTCTGCCTTGCATCCCCCTTCTACTAGCATTCCCCCCTTAGTTCATGTCCATGGGCTGTACGTATAAGTTCTTTGTCTTTTCCATTCCCTATACCATTCTTAACCTTCCCCTCCTATTTTGTACCTCCTATTCATGCTTCTTATTCCGTGTACTGTTTCCTCCATTCTCCCCCCTCTCCCCACCCCCGATCTCCATTTCTGTGACTCTGTTCCTGGTCTAGTTGTTTGCTTAGTTTGTTTTTATTTTTGTTTAGGTTCAGCTGTTGATAGTTTTAAGTTTGTTGTCATTTTACTGTTCATAGTTCTTAATCTTCTTTCTCTTAGGTAAGTCCCTTTAACATTTCATATACTAAGGGCTTGGTGATGATGAACTCCTTTAACTTGACCTTATCTGGGAAGCACTTTATCTGCCCTTCCATTCTAAATTATAGCTTTGCTGGATAGAGTAATCTTGGATGTAGGTTCTTGCCTTTCATGACTTTGAATACTTCTTCCCAGCCCCTTTCTGCTTGCAAAGTTTCTTTTGAGAAATCAGCTGATAGTCTTATGGGTACTCCTTTGTAGGTAACTGTCTCCTTTTCTCTTGCTACTTTTAAGATTCTCTCCCTATCTTTAATCTTGGGTAATGTAATTATGATGTGCCTTGGTGTGTGCTTCCTTGGGTCCAACTTGTTTGGGACTCTCTGAGCTTCCTGGACTTCCTGGAAGTCTATTTTCTTGGCCAGATTGGGGAAGTTCTCCTTCATTATTTGTTCAAATAGGTTTTAAATTTCTTGCTGTTCCCCTTCTCCTTCTGGCACCCCTATGATTCATTCAGATGTTGGAATGTTTAAAGTTGTCTCAGAGCTTCCTAAGCCCCTCCTCATTTTTTTGAATTCTTGTTTCTTTGTCTTGTTCTGGTTGAATGTTTACCTCTACCTTCTGCTCCCAATCATTGATTTGAGTCCCACTTTCCTTCCCTTTACCGTTGGTTCCCTGTATATTTTTCTATGTTTCACTTTATGTAGCCTTCACTTTTTCCTCCCTTTTGTGACCATACTCAACCATTTCTGTGAGGGTCCTGATTACCAGTGTTTTGAACTGTGCATCTGATAGGTTGGCTATCTCTTCATTGCTTAGTTCTGTTTTTGGAGCTCTGATCTGTTCTTTCATTTGAGCCATATTTCTTTGTCTCAGCATGCCTGTTTTGTTGGAAGGGGCAGAGACTTAGGTATTTGTTAGGGCGGGGCTACCCAGGTGGCTGCATTGTGACACTGTGTGTGGGGGAAGGGTCAGAGAGGGAAAAATGCCACTTGCTACTCTCCTGGTTGGTTTTCTGTTACTTCACCCCTACCCAAAAGCAAATTGGGCCCTTCTGGTGCTGATTCCCAGGTGGGTGGGTTTGTGTATATTCTAAGACCCTGTAGGTCTCTCCAATGGACTCTTCCGCGAGGCTGGGAGTTTCTCCCACTGCCACAACCCCCACAGGTTTTTATATCCAGAGGTTTTGAGGCTTTCTTTTTCTGCCCTGGAACCCTGGATTGCAGGGTGTGTCTTGCTCCCCAGCTGTTCCCCCCGGTTTATCCGCATGCAAATGTGGGACTACCTGGTCTGCCAGCCGCCACCTCACCCGCCTGGTCCTCTAGCCGCTACCTTGCTGTGCGTCCTCTCTGCCCCGGCTGCCCGTCTCCACCCCTCGTACTGGTCTGGATGAATGTTTCTTCTTTAGCTCCTTGGTTGTCAGACTTCCATACAGTTCAATTTTGGGGCAGTTCAGATTATTTTTTGTTTTTAAATTTGTTGTTGTCCTTCCTTTGGATGTGCGAAGAGGCAAAGTGTACCTACCTACGTCTCTGTCTTGGCCAGAAATTAGTAGGGTGTCTTTTCGTTTTGTGTATGGTTTTCTTTGCTGAGTCAACACTTTTTAGTTTGATGTAGTCTTATTTGTTTATTTTTTTCTTTTGTTTCCCTTGCCTAAGGCGATGTATCAAAAGAAATATTACTAAGAACTGTGTCAGAGAGCTTACTGCCTGTGTTTTCTTCTAGTTTTATGGTTTTGAATCTTACATTTAAGTCTTTAATCCATTTTGAATTTATCCTTGTATATGTATAAGAAGGTAGTCTAGTTTATTTTTTAGCATGTATCTGTTCAATTTTCCCAACATCTATTATTGAGTAGACTGTCTTTACCCCATTGTATTTTCCTGACTCCTTCATCATATATTAATTGACCATACAGGCATGATTCTCAACCACCACATGTGGGAGTGGGACCAATCCATTTTGCATCTCTGCCTCTCCTACCAGTCTCAATATCGCTTCTTAATAGCCTTATTATAGGACTTCTGTTCAACTAATCTTTAGATGGTTCTCCAGGTTGATGTTCTGTCATTTAGTTGTAATTTTGCTGTAGTCATGGGAGGAGGTGAGCACAGCATCTTCCTATTCTCATATCTTCACTGGCTCTGAAAGTATGTTTCACTTGCCAAAGCCCCTTGAAGGTTCTGTTTCTGGTATTCCTTCCCCTCTGATGAGAACCATAGCTCTAAATTCAAGTCTTTTTTAGTAATTCTCTGTCAAAAATGTTTGTAACTTAACCATAAATACTATAGCTATATATATATATATATGGTATGTTGCTTTCCAGTACTCTGAATAAAGAGGGCTTGATGGTGTACTCAAATGTTTTTGTGTTTGGTCCAGGTGAGAGACATGTATCTGTTAATGGCTGGGAGTGAGTGTTCTAGTTGAACATTTTTGCTTTTCCCGAATTTATGAAATTCTCTCTGTAAGTCTTCACAGGACAGAGAAGTGGCATTTTAGGGCTTTGCCAACTTTTAAAGTTTGCAGATCATCCTGGAAATTGACTTAAAGCATCATGTGGATCTGTTGCTGATGTAAAAAGAAATTTAAATATTCTTGCCTTTTAAAGAAAATCTACAGGAAGATTTTTACTCTTTTTTTAAGTACTAAGTTTGTTTTTTCAACTTTATTTAAAATAATATGTTGCAAAAACAGTTTAATATCCTGAACATTTCAACTGCAAAATTATGGCATAATCTTCTCTGTTAGAAGAGTATATTTCAGGTAAATTTCCCATAGGTTCTGGGTTTTTCTTAATTACAGTTTCATCAGAAGTTTATTTTATTTTTCTTTGCTTTTGAAATTTAGCTGTTGCACGTGTCTTATGTCCAGTATATTAGAATTAGTGTTATCTGTAGAGGCAAGTGACAGGACGAAGACAATTATATACAATAGATGCTGTTGATTAACAGTTACTCTTCGGGGGGAAAAAAAGATTTGACCTGAATTATTTAGACTTTTTATATTCATTCAATTCCCTGGATAGTTTCTTACTTGGTATTTCCACTTTTAAAATAAGACATAAAGCCAAAAACCTTTTTCCTGTTGTAAAACAAAACAAAACAAAACAAACAGGAGGATATAAAAAGAGAGAAAGACATTTATCCTTCCTCCTATCTCTTATTTTGTCTTTTTCTTTTTTTCATCTTCAGCCTGTTTTTCTGGCATTTAAATTTTTCCTTTTAACTAATATTTGATATTTTTACTTTCTTTTTATGTTCTGTATTAGTTTGCTAGACTGCCATAACAAAATACCACAGACTGGGTGGCTGAAGCATAGGACATTGATTTCTTGCAGTTCTCGAAGCAGGAAGTCCAAGATCAAGGTAGATTCCATCCTGAGGCCTCTTCACTTATAGACAGCCACCATCTCACTGCGTGTTCATATGACTTCTTGGTGCTCATGCAGGAAGGAGGAAAGGAAGGAGAGAGTGAGCGAGCACTCTGTTGTCTCTTGTAAGGGCACTAATCCCATCAGGAGGGTCCTCATCACCTCATTGAGCCCTACAAACATTTAGTCCATAGCTCCCATGTATGTTTGGTATCAGTAAATGTCCAGTCAGAAAAATGTAAAAATTACCAGAACAATCTGAATTTTGTAAATTTACAAAAGTAAGATATATTCACTGCAACCAGTTAAGACCACTGTGTCTTTCCTCTCTTGTTTCCTTCTGTCACATCTCCCTCTGGCAGATAACATCCAAGTGATCACAGACATTCTTTTCTTTCACAGTTTTGTATATATGTATTCTTTTTTTTTAAACTTTTTTTTTTTAGTATTTATTTATTTATTTTTTCAAATACATTTGTCTCTGCCTCCCCCCCCACCACTTTCCCTTGCCCCCTCCCTCCTTCCCTCCCTCAGCTCTTCCCCTTTGGTTTTGTCCATGAGTCCTTGCTATGTGTTCCTTGACTTTCCCCTTCCCTTCCTTTTCCCCGCCCCCCCTTCCCTCTTGTCTCTGTTGATTTGTTTTCCTTTCAGTGTTGCTGGTCTTATTTTCCTTGCATCTTTGTATTGTTGATTAGGTTCCACTTATAGGTGAGATCATACGGTATTTGTCTTATATATGTATTCTTAAAGAAGGCTTTTAAAATGCGATAAGCTCCAGAACCCATGGAAACTGAATCTGCACCCCTCTCCCACAAATTGCTGTTAAAAGGTATGTTGTTAGGAAAGTTCATATTAAAAATGTACTTTGAATGTACTTATTTATTATTTTTTTTCCTGCTTTTACTTTTACTAGTATTTATTTTATTTATTTTATGATGAATTTACTCCCGAGCCATAAATTTTTGTTTCTTCAATTTCTTCTGGGATATCTTTTTCTTCTGGGCAACTTCCTCTTCTGGTTTAGGAACAATCTGTCCTTTTTCTGTGAAGATCATCTCAATGTGGCAGGGAGAGCTCATGTATGGGTTGATCTGCCCATGAGCTCTGTAGGTTCTATGTCGCATCTTGGGAGCTTTGTTCACCTGGATGTGCTCGATGACCAGAGAATCTACATCTAAACCCTTAAGTTCAGCATTACTCTGCATTTTTACTCTCTGAAGCATGTGCAGCAAAAACTCAGCACTCTTTTTGGGCCACCGACCCTGTGTCCAGCCCCACTGTTTGGCCTGAGCACACCTACCAACTCCACCGTTGTATCAACAGAATGGGACACACTGCTTCTTCAAAGTGACATCTTTCAGATACTTGGTGGCTTTTTGAATATACATACCCTTGATGGCCTGGGCAGTTTCACAGGTGTTCTTGAAGTGAACCCGAAGATTTGAACCTCGTGATTTGCATGATTTTGTGGGGTTTTCTGGGTCAAGTGAATAGCGAACCATCTTCAGAGGTGACCTCTGGTCACTTCTGGGAAGAGGAAGCCGAATGTATTTAATTGAATGCTCAGTTCTGAGGGGCTCTTATCTGTCCCCCTTCTCTCACCCCTATTGAATATTTACTGAAAACACAACACAAAGAGTTCATTCTGTAAAATGGCTTATGTGAAAGGGTACTTAAATTCTTGCAGGTGAGAAGGAGGACTGTTTTCTTATTTAAGATTGCTCAGCTGGCAGGGGAAGCCCGAGTCCGGTAACCTCTCCCAACAGAGTGTCTGGGAGTTGTGGGTGTTCATGTCTTATCCGAATTCACCAGAAGTCAGTAATGGCTGTTCGTTTTATCTCTGAAGTCCACATGGTACCCGTATTTACTGACAACTAATAGTTCCCTAAGTAAATTCATTATCCTCATTCATTCTCTGCCTCTCCCTGGGCTCACCTACCGCAGTTAGGGACCAAACTTCTGAGATTTTTATGGATGTCCCAATAAGTAAGCTTTATTTTATAGGGAGGAAAGTGTTCAGTGATAGACCTTGCCCTACTTCTGTGTCCTCAGTCCCGCTCACCATGTTTCAGAGACTTGAGGGCCCTGAGCTCACCCCTTCCCCCTTCCCTATACCATCCTGAGCCATACGCAGCTGAATCCTTAGCCCTATGAGCCTTGCTTCCTCTATAACCTTCTGAAAAGTTCAAGTTCCATTGGCTTGAAGCCCTTTATTGACTGGCAGACTGACACATCAGCAAGGCTCACACATCCTGAGGCACCGACAGCCATGCAGAGCGGAGCAGGAGTGGCAGGGTGCCCAGGGGGACCGCGGCACACTGCACAGGTGCGGCGCTGTGGAGGACTGGGAAGCTATGCTCACTCGCCTGCAGTCTCGGGGAGATCACTTGAACTCTTTGGACCTTCGCCACTCGCCTGTGAAATGATACCATAAGGTCCCACTAGATGGTCCTTGAGGCCCCTTGTAACTCTCAACCTCAGGGATGCCTAAATCTGTTTTCCGGTCAGTTTTCTGAAAGACCCCCCCCCCATTTAAGTCACACTGCTGTAGTTCCGTGCAGTAGAAAACAAAAGGCCTGTTCTCAGTATACACATACAGCCTTCTTTCTTGGTTTTGTTTCTAAATGTTTCCTTCTTGACTTCCTTTCAGAGGCGAGTGGAGCCCTGACCTGGGCAGGGAGAAGAAGGAGCCCTTGCAGACATCTTCCATGGCTGCCATTACTTTTCAGATACTGTCCTCCCTCCTTGCCAGACTTATGGCCCTTCCACTCTCCGCTCTCACGCAAACCTCCTGCTTGTAGCCACCCACCATTTCTTCAGCCCTCTTTGAACTGCTTGCCTCTGCTACTTTGGTCACACCACCTTCCCTCCCAATATTTCCTACTTCCCTCTCGGTTCTCCAGCCTGGACTGGCCACTTGGGTCCCCCACGCTCCCTCTCCCCTGAGCCCTCGCAGCGCCTACAGCTACAGCGCTACTTATTAGAGGACTGTCTTATTCTGCCTTGTTTCCTTTCTTGAGGGAGAAAATTTCATTTTAGAAATCCTTGAATCTCTCCTAGTCCTCGCAACATGACTTGGGCAGAGGGACTGCTTTGTAAATGTTTGTTGATTGATTTTATAGTAGGTGCTCAATAAAATATACCTACTACCTTACAAAGAATGTTACATATCTCAACTCAGCAGGTATTACAACAACTTATAAGAGATATCTTACTTCATTCCCAATTTTCAAATGGAGAAACTGAAATTTAGAAGTTAGATGACTTGCTCAAGGTAAAACAGATCTTCTGCAGCACCTAAGTACACCTAAGTAGGTGCTTTGGTGAAGACCTCAAGCCTCGGGATGGCACTTAGACTGGGCTTTGCCATTTAAGAGCCCTTGGGCCCTTCCTTATTCTCTTGGAGCCCCAGTTTACTCATCTGTAGAATGGGGATAACAATAGTACCTCCCTCACAGGGTGGTTGCATTAATGGTGTCATTCGTGTATCTAGCAAATGGTGAAGGCAATATTATTATCATTATTTTGATACATCAAACTGCTTCCCTAGTAAACAAACTTGTTGACTGTACAGTATCTGCCACACACTCAGCAAGTATTTGAGTATGAAGACTAAAGAATCATTTGGTTTTTATCTTAGATTACCGCCTAAATAATTTTTCTAACTGCAATCAGGTCATCAGTTAAGTGATCAACACCATTATCCTGCCCTCATGCCTCTCATCCCGCTCCCCCAACGCAGCTGACCCAGCAAAGCCTTGCACCGACTGAGAGGGCAGCTAACTCTGGGCAGCCAAACGGGAAAACCAGGGTTCGCTGCTGGCAGGAACTTGCTGGGACTTGGACAGGTTCACTCGCTGTTTTCCATGCCTACAAATCAGCTGGAGAAATCCCAGGCTGGTGGCTAGATGAAGGATTTGTAAACTAGACAGAGAAGAGCTGCTAAGGGTAGACCCACTTGCAGGGTTTGGCAGAACCACAGCTGCACAATTTAAAGATGAGGTCAGTGGCTCCTTTCTCCAGGGAAATAAGTGACAGAGACACAGGCGGGTGGACCAATGGAGAGTAAGATTAAGGGGAGTGTCCTTAATAACTGCCCCAATGGGAGGCAGTTTTGCTTTCTCTCTGTTTCTCAGGGCACTAGCCCAGCCACTCACTGGGAAAACAAGTGTCGGTGCCAGAGCTTCTGCGAGTTCCAGGCCGCTTCTGCAGAGACAGGTACCGGAATCCTCCGGCCCGGCCCGTGGCTCAGGGGCGCTGCTAGAGTTCTCGGGGAGTTTGGGGCGGGGGAGTTGCCTCAGTGGGATCAGGTGTCAGTGGTTCACAGGCTGCTGGATCAGGCTGAACCCCCCTTGCTGATTCACATTTCTTCTTCCTGGCAGCTGGTCACTCTCAGCCACAGTTACTTTCCTTCTCAACTTAATTTATGACAACTATTTTGAGAAAGTTCTTGGGCAGGGAGGCCAGTGTGAAAGAGGAAAACCGGTAAGGGGTTAGGTGGCTGCTTCCTGCCTCTGGGGCAAGGGGCAGGGTGCCCTCCTCAAGCTCTGCCCCTCGCCCTGGGGCCCTGCCTTCTCCTCCCTCTGCCCTGGCAATCCTGCTCCCTCGGAGTGAGCCGCCCATTGGGGAGCAGTCAGGGTAACTAATGGCCGAGGAAACGCTATGCTGCTTGAGAAATAGAAATAACACGCAGTTAGCCTCACTGCAGGACTGTAAAGTATCGGAGCCCTTCCGAGCCCAGGAGACCACTGACAGCTCACAGCAGAGGGGACGGCCCCACCTCCTCCTAAGGAAAGGTGAATTTTGCGGCCCTTATTTGTGCCACGTGACCCAGGCCCTGGCTACTGCTGATTGGACAGAGAAGGGCAACTATGCCAAGGGCACATGTACAGGCTGGTTTAGCCCAATGAGGCGGCCCGGCCCTAGAACACTGATAGAGCTGGCAATGACAAGCTGGGCTAATTGCATTTTCTCTCTCTGGAGTTTCAATCTGAGCCCTACAGCAAACGTTAGACAGAGAGCCGGAACAGAGATGGGAGGACCAGCAGGAGAGCCTCGGTGGACAGGGAAGCTGACGGGGGAGCAGGCCTGGGGGCGAGGGCGTGGGAGTTGTGGAGCCCTCCTCAACCCTCTCGTTCCCACGCTGGACTCTGGGCTCAGGCTCCCGCTCAGCTCAGGCCGCTGCATTTCCCTACGGACTCTCAGAAAGAGCCCTGTTTATGAGACAGACTCAGTGGGTCTCTCTTATTTACCACCCATAGAAACTAAAAGAATTCATGTGGCCTGGGTTACAGATGAGGGAGTCCAGACAAGGAGACTGTGGGTCACTCCCCAGGTGACAGGTGGCCTGCTCTCAGCAGGCAGGGTTTCAGCATAGCCTTGGGGTGAGGGTGGGAATGTGAGGGTGGGAAAGCAGTGGCAAGTCAGCGAAGGCAGCTGGGAGAGTTGGTCCCCAGTTAGAGTGAGGAGCAGGAGAGGAGATGCTGAGGTTCAGTCGCTCAAGCTTTCTGTTAAATGTTGTTGCATTTGCTGCTTGTTCCTACCGTGCTTACTCACTAGCCTTCCCTAGGTCTTGCCTGCAGGGAAAGTGGTTTAGGAAAGGGGGCGGAATGAGTAGAAATCTCCCCCAAAATGCAAACCTACTTACCTGTCGTGTGTTTAAAGGTGACTCCAAGCTGGGTTTGCACTTATGTCTAAAGCTCCATTGAGACCTCATTGCCCACATGCCCATGCTTAACAGAGAGAGCTCACAGGGAGATCTCCTTATCCCACAAGAACAGCCAACAGGAAAGGTCTTATTCTGAGAGGCTATGGGCCTCAGGAAAGAACTCTTAGGGCCAAAGTTTGCACTAGATGGAACCATCGCTAACACAAGGCTTATGGCCGCACCTTCTCTCCTCACAGGCCCATGGATACGGTCCGGGTTGCCGTGGTGGGCGCAGGTGTGATGGGACTCTCCACGGCTCTCTGCATTTCCGAACTGGTCCCACGATGCTCCATCACGGTCATTTCAGACAGGTTCTCTCCTGATACCACAAGTGACGTGGCAGCCGGAATACTTATTCCCCACACATACCCGGGTGAGAGGGATTTTTGCTCCTTTGTCAGACATGGTAGGCACCAGGTAGAATGATGTTAGTGGACTTCTGTTGGCAAAGACAGCTGGGTGTGCATGTAATGTGAACTTTGAACATCTTATTGGTCCATCCTTTAGGAAAAGCTCAGTTATGCTGTAAGACAAAAACAACCTTCAAGTCTTAGCTGCTTAAGAAATAAATGGTTATTTCTTGCTCACAGTCTATGTTATATGTTGATTGAACATCAGCAAGGGACCAGCAGGAACCTAAGCTGATGAAGCAGCTGCTGTCTTGAATGTCATCGGTATCTATACCCAGAGGGAGGGAACTCAGGGGTCTCACCTCCACAATTAAATGCTCTGGCCAGGAAATGACTGTTGTCACTTGTGATGACAGCTCATTGGCCAGCTATACTCACGTGCTCTCAAGCATTAGGAGGAGGCCAGGAAGCACAATTCTGTAAGACTTTGAGAAGACGGATGGCCAGAATGTCTGGCGAACAGTGCTAACAACTACCACAAGTGGGAACTCTAAGTCTTTCCACTGATACTAGTAATGATCAAATCAGAATCCACCTGTATGTAATGGGATTAAGATCCTCACTTCTAAACCAGTATAAAAACTATCAGTCAATGTGTGTTCAGGCCTAAAGATGCATTGATTTTTAAAAACATGTCCATGTATCCTTTCCATTCAGGGTTTCCCACATGAAATGGGAGAAAAGAAATAGCATTAAATAAAAAACAAAACCACTTTGCAGCCAATTTTATATTCACTCTTTCCACCTTCTCTTTTCCCCTGTTCTTTTTCCCTTTAATTTTAGTTTTTATTTCTTTATCAAAGTTAAACATGCAGATAGTTTAAACAATTAAGTGGTTACAAGATTTATTAAAAAATAGCCATCTGTCCAATGAATATTGCCCTGACTATTTAACCTGGAAACTCACGTTCTTCAGTTCCAGAAGCAGCCTTTGAATTACTCAGTTGTTGAATTCTGCCTCTTGACGTCTCTGTCTTGCTTTCTGGAGCTGCTATCGTGCTAGGTCTCCAGGACAGTCCTCCAATTCTCTTAGCTTCCCCTCCCCGCTCCTGTTTCTATCTCTTTCTCTTTTAGTTTACTTTCTGGGGATTTTTCTCAATTTTGTCTTTAACCTTGCTGTTGAATTTTTAATTTCAACTATAGCATTTTTAACTTTACAAAGTTCTTTTTTGTTTTCCGAATTTTCCTGTGGTAAGGCATCCTTTTTGTGTGTGTTCTATAGTTGCAACATCTTTTCTTACGTTTCCAAAGATACTAACAATAGCTTAACAAGTTTCTTCTTCCTGCAAAATTTCTGTTGTCCCAAGTTGTGCTGGATGTTCTCATTTTTCAGGCTGCAGGTTTGCCGTGGCCAGGGGTCATCTTCACTTGTCTGCTGACAGTTAAGAGTGAGACCCTGAATAGCCAATGGGAACTTTTAAGCGCTTTTAGGGCTTGCTGCCTTGGGCCTCACTGGAGTGAGGTGGCAGGGATGTTTAGTTGGGGAGCCTGTGGCATCATTATGTTTAAGTCTTTCTTCTTGGACCAGTCCTGTTCCTCAGAGAAGAGGCTTCTAGCCTCCTGGCTGGGGAGGGTGACGCCTGGGCTGGCCACATTCTAGAAGGCAGAGGAAGAAGGCTGGGGGCCTAGCATCTGGTTTGCACGTGTTTCCTTACCTCTCCTGTTTTCAGTATGGTATCCCTGTCTTCACCTGTGCTTGCTCTTTCCCAGCCCAGGAACCACTGTTTCACCTAATGGAGAATAAACCCGTATTTTGGCAGGGTGGGAAGGGAAGGCAGTGACCTTGGCGTTGCAGGTCCAGAAACTTGACTTCCTCAACACCGGTGATGCTGATGCGTCTTCTGGGTGCTGCCTGGCAGGGAGCAAGCACAGACACCAAGTGTCTGTGCTTGCACAGTGCGAGTTCACCGTGGGTGCCTTTCCTGTACCAGAATTCTGTGCCCCCTTTCCAGAAGCCCCCGTGCTTGTGCCAGGCCCAAGGGAGTGGCCAGAAGGTAACCGGATAGTCAGGGAGTCGTCTCCAAAGGAGGCTCACTTGAGAGTTCACCCAGGCTACCACGGCCCAGGCTCGCACTCTGGCCAGGTGGGGCCCTGCCTCAGGGTCTCTCTCTGGCGTTGCTGGAGAACGACTCTGGCCTTCTCTCTGGACTTCTTTTAGACCAGGCCCAGGGGTAAATATCCTCTGAGCTCATGAGTGTCATCACCATACGGGGACCATACCGGTCTTACAGGGTCATGTGAGAATAAAATGAGTTCGTGTAGGTAAAACAGTCAGAACAGTGCCTGGACATAATAAGCACTATATCTGTATTTGCTATTGCTACTGCTGCCACTCCAGCTACAGTTTCCTTGTAGCAGCATTTGAACATGAATTAGGTCACCGGGCTTCCTCTACCCACTGTTGACCTGGAATCGCTTGTTCTTTTAGGATCATTTCCACAGCATGTGGATCTCAGCCACTGTTTTGCTTGTAAGGTTTGGGGTGGGAACAGCGGAATGCATTTCAGTACAGCACCATGCACTGGCTGGGATTGCTGGGGTCTAATGCTTAGAGGTCTAATTTCATTTTCCTTGCAGCTTACTATTTATTTCTTCCTTATTTCTACACCGGTGGCCCAGTCTGCAATTTTGGAATGCAGTGTTAGTTCACATGGCACATGTTTAAAGACAGCAGAGATCCACTCCTAGAGAACTGTTTATGGGCTCTGTGACAAGTTTTAAATCCTGCTACCGAAATGCCCTCATTGATCTGGGGGCTTTGTTGGGGGAGCAGGATGATTCCAGGGGCCTGTTCACCTCCACTGTGAACTCCAGGGACATCCCTCCAAGCAGAGCTGAGGCAGCGCCCTCTCTGCGCCAGTTCCCTCGTCTCCTCTGTGGCTGTCCCCGTAGCAGCCCCTCAGAATTACTGCTCCCTGGTCTCTGGCCTGACCCTGGACTTTCTCTCATGATCCTTCCACAGGAGTCAGAGGGCCAAATACTTGACCCATAATTGGATTTCTCTGTACCTGCATTGGACGCTATTATTGTGTGTGTGTGTGTGTGTGTGTGTGTTTAAAGGTTTTATTTATTTATTCTGAGAGAGAGGGGAAGGGAGGGAGAAAGATAGGGAAACATCAATGTGTGGTTGTCTCTCATGTGTTCCCTACAGGGGACCTGGCCCGCAACCCAGGCATGTGCCCTGACTGGGAATCAAACCTGCAACCCTTTGGATTGCCAGCCAGCACTCAGTCCGCTGAGCCACACCAGCCAGGGTTGGACACTTTAACTTTGGGGCTTGAACCCTGACACTTATTTCCTCCCTACCTGGCCTGGCATCCTTTCGGAAGCTGCATCTGGGTCGCATCTCTGGTGCTCTGGCAGGGAAGCCTGGGAAAAGGGAGCACTGATCCCTAGTACTCGGACAGGGAGGTGGTGCCCCGTGTGGTCCCTGCAAGTCCCTGCTGACCTGAGGTGCTACTCCATGAGTCCACAGAGTGGCGGGGTGGGAGGTAATGGCAGCCCTGGCTGGGGTTGCAGGGAGCCTTTCAAGGGGAGCTAACGTCGTAATACAGGCCTTGTTTCCTTGTAGCAGGAGGGTGAGCTCCCTGGGCTTCCCGTGGATGTGTACTCTGTTCTCTGTCCTCGTGGACCTGGGCCCCACACACAGATCTTGCCTTGTCATCCCTCATGTTTTCAGTCTCCAGGAAAGTGGTCCTGTGTTCTTTCTCCCATTGTTTTAACTGTGTGGCCAGCTGGATGCTTTAGCCATGTTTATCTATAGCAAATACAGATACAGCAGCCAAGTGGCCTCAGCCACTTCTGCTCAGGTTGGTTATGGACCCTTCAAGGACCTCTGGAATGTATGTGGGACCCAAGTCCACCTGCCAGCTGGCTCACCTGTTAGATTTTGCCCTGATTGGTTGGTTTCCCCCGTGTGGGTTAATCATACAAACAGATGCTGACAACATAGGTCAATATTCAAAACTTTCATTGTGGATATATCCTCCGCAGTGTGGTACTTTATCTAAACATTCCTCCTTGCCTCTTTACTGTTTCCCCCAGTTTCTAGAAAGGAGCTTATCTGAACAAGGCCATTATCTTTTTCCTTTCTGTTCCACTTTGCTTTTCTCCATGATTATAGACACACCCATTCACAAGCAGAAGCAGTGGTTTAGAGAGACCTTTGATCACCTATTTGCAATTGCCAATTCTGCAGAAGCTGGACAGGCTGGTGTTCATCTGCTATCTGGGTAAGAGAGGAAAGCTGAAGTTATTTTAGAATTTCAAATGATCTGAACAGACTGTAGAGTGCAACATGAATTATTATTGAGAGTCTGCTCTGAGCCGAGTGCTGACCTAGATATGGGAGGATTTAGAAGAACATTTTAGGCTTCACTCCAAGGAACTCAAGAAAGACAAATTATAGTATTAGACATTTTAATAATAAACGACCATTCCAGTTTCTCATCACAAATACTATTTTGAGTTTCCTCAGGGATTACGCACTGATTTGTGATTACGGCTACAAAAATATGTCAGGTAAGCAGTGATGGAGGATTATGTGAGGACCATGTGGCTGATGGAACATGAACAGGCGGGACATTGGGATGGGTGCAGAGCCCCAAAATACAGGGACAGCTTACATATTTAGTATCCTTAAAGAGTGCTATATTCCAAAAATGTAAATTTTGTAGGTCACTAAAGTTACCTTTTGAAGTGCCACTTGAGAAAAAAATATTTCTGAAATGGTTGGCACACTCCCATTTGATTCTTCATATCCAATTTCAGGAGACACTCGGTTAAACAAAGAGTTTTCAAATAAATCCCATGTAACATTGCTAACACAAACTAGTACTTAAAATGTGATGCTATCTTTCAATATGATCTTAAATTGAGATGTCGAACTGCTTTCTTTCAATTTATGACATAACTAATATGTCATCCGGGTTATCCTGTGTTATGACACAGCTATGCCCTGCAGTTTTCAGAAGATTAGAGGGATGTTACCTTTTGTTAAATGCTTAGCTCCCCTGCACCTTTTGTGCTATTTCTAAAACAAAAATAAAACAAAAAAAAAGTGCCCTCTCTCCTCTTTTGAGGTCAGGCTGTGTGCTGATGTTTTCTGCTGGTGAACACACCTGCCTCAGGCAGGTTTCTATTCCTTTCCGTGTCTTGCCCTCCCTTACCTCCACCACCACCAAATGATGCTGACATCACTAATTCCCCGCAATCTTTGTCCAAAGACGCAACTTTCACTTCTCTACATTGCAAAGATCAACTGACACTGTAACTGTCTCCAAAGCCAGCTGATGAGCCACAGAGAAAAATGATTTTCATTAATATATGGCCACACTTTGTTTTTGTCTAAAACCAACATCATCCAGTCTAATTCACGAACTTTGGCTCTAAGAAATTTTTTTAAAAAATAGCTATGTTTAAAATTCAAATATCCTTTCAAGAGTAAGACTTTGCCACCATTGAGGATATTAAAAAGAATATCTTTTAAGCTATTCTACAAAAAGAGTTATTTATTTCCTTCACATGAATTATTTTTACTCCATTGGTTTCCAAAAAGGATGTGGATCCATCAAGCATAGACAAAGGCATTATGTCCTTTGCATCTTTGGCCTAAGTATTTATAGCCTTATTCTTCTGTTCTTTTCTTCAAAACAATTATTTAGCATTCATCAGTATCAGGTACTGTCCTAGGTATCAGGAATATAGAAATGAGTAGTTCAGTACATCCTGCTTGGCATATAGTAGATTCTCAATAAATATGCATGGAGTGAATTTGTAAGAAAGACTGACATGATTCTGCCGTCATATAGCTCATGGTCTGTGGGTAATGTCCTAAAACTACTGAGTTACACATGACACGTGCATTACCGAGGGAAAAGTGCAGGGTGCTATGGAAGCATTTATCTGGAGAATAAACTTGCTCTAGGATTTTATGAGACACCACCAGGAAAAGAAGTGATGTTTCAGTGAAGACCGTTCAGATGTGGGTAGGCTAGTCTGGTGATGTGTAGAGGGGAAGGGGCAGAGACAGAGTCTAGGACAGAGGAGGCAGCATTCTGGGTAGAGGAGACAGCACGTGCACACACCCATGTCCGGGGGCACTGTGGCGTTTTGGAAGGATTAATAAATTCCAGCGTAATGGGAAGCCGTTGAAGGGTTTTACCCAGTGAAGTAATTGACCATATTTATATTTCAAAAACATTCTGTCTGTAGCGTGGAGAACAGATTTGTGGAAAGAGAGGTGATGGTGGGAAAGATTAGCTGTTGATATTGGGGATAAGGGGTAGATAAATGTGAGAAATGCCGAAGAGGAGATTTTGCTGGGGCCTGGTGGTTGAAGGCCTGCAGGGGATGAGAGAGGAGAGAGAGTCAAGGATGATTTTTAGGTTTCTGGCACCTGGGTGGATGGGGTCCCCTTTTCTGAGTTCGACAGAGGGGCAGTGGAAGTATGCGCTTGGGGGTTAATGTATGAGACATGGAGGTAGACATCCCGTGGGGAGTAGGCAGTGCCGGTCTGGATCTGGATTTGGAGCTCACAAGAAAGGAGTGGGCCGGAGATGTGGCGTTCCGAGTGTCCGGCATGTAGATGATGGTGAAGATGTGGGCGAGGGCGGTCTAGCCCAGGGAGAGCGTGCAGAATGAGTCCGCAAACGGGCCCAGTGTAGAGCCCTGCGGCGAGCGTTTCCACCTTCCACGGGAACCGCTTTGAATTAATGGCTTAATTATGAATTACTTAAATTCCGATACATTAATATCACAACATCAGCAACCATGTACAGCACTCACATGATTTTCCTGGCTATTTTAGAGTAACCATGATTTATAACATTTATTCCTGTTGATGAAAACAACCCAACACTCATAAATTCAAACATATGCCTTGTGGCTATTGGGAGGACTGTTAGAGCCTCATCCACCCCAACCATGACCTAACAGGAACAGGGCCCCTGACAACTCTTGGCTTTTCTTTTCAAGAGCTAAATGGTTGACCTACGACTTAAGTCATAATTGGCACCCTGGCCTTCGGCACCCCCACCAAAGCTCATTCCAGTTTAGATATTTTGTTCAGAATTGAGGCCAGACTTTAAACTTCTGATGGTTTGCTTATAATTTATATAAAGCATTATGCAAAACAGAAGAACCTTTCCTCAAATACCATAGTCATAAGTAAGTAAGAAAATCTAGGCCAGAGTTTTTTTGGAAAACAGAGAATTAAATTCAATCTTTAAAAGATACTACTTTTTAAATGTTTTACTCCCCACAACCATGAACATTTTGTATTTAGCTACTGAGTTATCTGAACCCAAGAGAATGGAAGAATAGATCTTTTTCTCTTTATGTGTATAGGGAGCATGATTTTTCAGGGCTTTAGAGAATATCACATGGGTTAACAAAAATGTGATAATTCACAAAATATCAGGAAATTTATTCACCTAATATGTTTGAGCTGGCAGATATTCCGGAGCATTCCTACTAAAGAGGTGCCATTCTGGGCTGACGTGGTTCTGGGATTTCGAAAGATGACTGAGGCTGAGCTGAAGAAGTTTCCGGAATATGTGTTTGGTCAGGCGTTTACCACCCTGAAATGTGAAGGTTCTGCCTACCTCCCATGGTTGGAGAAAAGGTCAGTTTAAATAGCTCTTTGCTGCTTCCTTCACCGGGCATAGCCATAAATAACTTCACTGCTATTCATAAAATATATACTGAAAATTCTCTGTGGTCCCTCAAGGTTCTTGCATTGTGTCTTGTTGCTCACGAGTGGCTAGGGCATTGTATGTAAACAGTTGGAAGACAGTGTTTGAGCCACAGGAGTGAGTCACATCATTTTGGTGGTGACACGTCTGTCTTCTACCTCTGGTGTGCACCTTGATGCACAGTTTGGTCCCCATGCTGCCAAACCACACACCTGTAAACGCTACTTACTGAAATGGTATCTTAGTTTCCTCGTCTGTAAAATGGGTAAGTTTGGAAAATATGCTTTCAGCTATAAAATTAGATGCTTTACTCTAGTTCTTTGAATGAGAGAATCCTATGCTTAGTATAAGTTATTTTTGAGTATTTTTTTCTCCTTAGTGAGAAAATGTTTATAGCTTCATTACTTTCTTTTGTTATAAATAAGAACTCAAAACTAAGGGCTTGCCTAAATTCTGTAACTGCATCCTCACCAAGCTGAGCCTCAAATACCTTGAACTTGCATTTTGGCTTGGTTCTCAGGACTTCCTATTTCCAGTTAGTTAGGAAACATAGCTAGAGCACCTTTATTCGAACAACATCAAATAAATCTCTCTAAAAGTTAAGTCAAGAAATTGCAGGCAGGTTGGAGGTTGTGAAACATTGGCTTTTTCAATTTCTAAATTGTATTTTTGGTGAATGAATAGCAACAATGTGGATTATTGTATAATGTTAGAAAAGTCACTTGAGGTAATTGGGCAATAATGATTGGGCCCTAGATATAAGATATAAAATAATTGACTCAAGTAATTCATTAATTCCACAATTCATTGTTGAACACCTGTATATACCTGGCACTGTGCTAGAAACTAGTCAGAAAGAAAGATAAATTATGACCTTTTTTTTAAAGGAATTTATAGTCTATTGGGATGATGGCTTGTATGTATCCATGTGTGTTTATATTAATTAATAATTACAGTAACACATATGGTGAAGGGTAAGTACAGGTTTATGAGAGCTGAATGGGAGAACAGAGGAGGAAACCTAAGTGCACTGAACACATGTCAGGAGAATCGTGATATATTTTTGTAGTTTTCTAAGTGCTCTTTTCACTTTTACCTCTGGATAATTTATATTGGACATTTTACTTTTGTAAGTTCCAGGTTCATAAAACCCACATTTTTGTGCTTTTGTGTGTTAAGTTTGTACCTGAATCATCAGTTAACAAACGGACATTTCGAACTGTCACACGATAGCATTGCTCATCTGCCAACATTCAAGTTTTGGCAGCATCCCTGTCTTTCCTGAGTGGCAGTATTGTGCAGTGTTGCATTTTTGTCCTTATGTTATAAAAATGAGTGTAAAAAAATTGCAAGTGCTAATGTTAGTGACTCAGGGTTGAGGTGTCATGTACTTAATCTTAAATTCAGATAAGGAAATCATTAGGCATGCCTACAGTAGCAGAGCTGTACTGTCAATATGCTGCATCATTTTAAAATTATGATAAAAAACAAAATGGAAGACCATGTACAAAGTACTGGGTATAAAAGGTGAGGTATCATTGGAGAGTTTTATTAAAATTTTTAGCGATCTTTATGACCCCAAAGTCTATTGTTTGGCTTCTTCCTATTGTACTTTTGGCTCCCTGTTCTGGAAAGTCTATAAAAAACTGGCTGGGGCCCTGTGGTCTCTGGCAGAGTGGGAAGAGGCGGGCAAGGAAACACCCCCAGAGTGTTTGTTCCCATCACAGAGACTGGCCAAGGGCTGGCCAAGGGCTTCTCTGTGTGGGGCTGGCTGGCGGCTGGATCAGGGGTGGTCAGGGAAACGGAGATAAGGAAAGTGAATGAAATTTTGTAAATCCTTTATCCAGGTCCCAAACATTTGTTTTCTCTCTCTCTCTCTCTCCACCCCCCCCCTTCCCCTTTATACATATTTTTTCTGGAACCATTAAAGAGTAAGTTGCAGGCACGATACCCCATTATTCCTAAGTATTGTCATGTGTATTTTCTAAGAACAAGGACATTCTCTTGCATAAATACAGTACTATGATAAAACCCAGGTATTGATAGTGATACAATACTATAATCTATGGACCTTACTCATATTTTGCCAATTGTCCCAATAATGTCTTTTTATAGCTATATGTGCATATTTCTGGTCCATGACCCAATCCGTGGTCACACACCACACATTGCATTTAGTTGTCATGTCTCTTTAGTCTGTGGTCTACCTTTGTCTTTTATGACTTGTGCAGTTGGAAAGGTCATGCAATAGCACAGATCAGTTGTTTTATAGAATGGCCCTCAACTGGGGTTTGCCTGATTTTTCCTCACGATTATATTGAAGTTATGAATTTTTGGTGGGACATCACGGGGTAATGTCGAATTCTTACTGCATCATATCAGGAAATGCAGTTTGTTATCTTCTGGTAACGTTAACTTTGATCACCTGGTCTTTCCATGTGAAGTTGCTACTTCTTTCTTTTGCAATTACTAAGTGCTTTGTCAGATTATACCTTGAGAGTATGTAAGTATCCTGTTCCTTGTCTAAATTTCACTTACTAGTTTTAGCACCTGTTGATTCTTTTTGCCTGAATCATTAATATAATGCTTGCCAAGTGATAATTTTCTAACTCTTTCCACATTTAGTTTGCTTTCTACTCTACAAAAATAGAACTTTTTCTTGTCTTATATTTATTTATTCAAGTATTTATTTATATCACTATGGACTCATGGATTCCTATTTTATTTAGTAGATTTACTCTATTACTTTTATTATTTATTTTGATGTTCAAATTGTCCAAGATTTGGCCAATGGGAGCCCCTTTGAGTTGCTCCTGTGTGTTTTTGACATGTCTGCATCTTTTTTTAAAAGCTTTTTCTTACTTATAGGCACATCAAGATTCCACACACCCAAAATTTGAGAAGAAAAGAATTTCCGTTTTATGACCATATCCTTCCATCTTTTTCCTTAATGGAAACCGGAAGTGATATCACAGTTTAAATTTATGTATTCAGTGCATAAATAAAGTGCCTTTTCTCCTCCCTTCCCTTTCTTTCCCTCTGTCCCCTGAAGTTTCCCTCTGTTGCGGTTTTGTGTGTGTAGCTAGAGAACACACCCAAGAGCAGGCGGTCCTGTCTCTACCTTATCCAGCCCGGGACATGAATAAAAACAGAAGCCCACATGAGAATGTGTAAATATTTAAAAGTTCTCAATCAAGCTAATGAACCATTAAATAAGAAATAATTTATCCTTTTACCTTAACAAATATGCTTTACAGTCACCTGAAGGCCAGGTTTACGTTTAGATTCTTGGATTCCCAGGAGTGCTGCACCTGAAAACGGCAGCAAGGGGCCTCGGGTGCATGCCAGGGGGTACCCTAGCCCATACACTCAAGCTCCAGCTCTACTCTCTCCTGAAAATAGCTCTCACTTGGCCATCCCTTGGGCTCAGGTGTGCATACAGTGGCATGGTCTGTCCCTCAGAGAAGACGATGCAGGTCCTGGAAGTGGGGAGGGAATGGGGACTCCGGGTCCCCAGCTCACTGGCTGGAAATGAAGGGGAGGTTCAGCCCACCTACTCATTCCTCATGCACGGCTGGCGAAGGGCAAGTGTAGGGTCCTCCAGGTGGCCCAGAGGAAGGACGGCCCAGCTCAGGTGAGCCAGGGTGGGTTCTGAGTCCGGGGAATAACAGGGTTTTTTCTACTCTTTCACTGAAGCATTGACTATTCAATATAGACAGAAGACTTAAACAGAAATTTTCCCTGGGAGAGAGGGCACATTGCTTTCATTTTGTCTTAAGTGACAAGTAGTAGATAAGATCGTTGGAAGATGGGGAGTTTTGATGGGGCAGAGAGAAAGCGTGTAGGCCCAGGACACCTGGAGATGGGGCAGATGGGGTGTCATGTGAGAGAGGGTGGAGGCAGGGATGCCAGCGTCACCCCGCTGTGCCTGTGTCCCCTCTTCGGAGGAGTTTGCCTGGGGCAGTGAGAAGCTTCTCCCTGGGGAGGGGGGCTTGTCCCCATGCTGGACAGGGAGTGACGGTCAGTCCCCAGCATGACCGCAGTCTCAGCAGTCTTCTGCCATTCTTGCTGAGAATGAATGTTTTGGCTCTGGGACCCTCCTCAACCATTTTCACACAAAACAAATAACAGAGGAGCCTCAGACAACATGGTTTTGAAGTGCATCGGTCCATTTACACACAGTTTTTTTTCCTGCATATCCCCAAGTTTTGCATCTGTGGATCGAATGAAACACGGATGCGAAAGGCCAATTCTGTGTGATATTCTGTGCCATTTTATATAAAGGATTGGAGCACCCACGGATTTGGGGGTCTGCTGGGGGCCCCGGAACCAATTCTCCATGGATACTGAGAGACTAGAGTTAAGGTTTGAGGAGTCAAAAGTTATTTTTGACTATATGGGGGTCAACGCCCTTTTTAACCCTTGCCTTGTTCAAGTTTCAACTATATTGTTGCCTGCTTGCTTCTAAAGTATCACTTTCTAGAAAACAGGCCCCTTATTTCCATAATAACCTTATTTGCAGGCCTAATCTCTAATTGTAGGACAAAGGTCTGGGGAAAATCCTGCTACCCTCTCCATAGGTGAAAGCCTGCTGCCAGCGTTTCACGGTACTTACAACAGCGCCCAGTGAGCGGGACTTCGCGCCAGTGGCAGCCGCCTCCTGGCCGCGACACCAGCGGGCCTGGTGAGCAGCAAGCTAGGGTCCGTGCCTTGGACACGCTGCTTGCAGTCTGTTTTTAGGTGACAGAGTCAGGGAGGGGAGGCCTGAGAGGGTGTTCTTATCCCCAGAGTCTTGGGGGCAGGTGGCTTTTTTAGTTCATTTGTTTGAGATACACATCCAATCCACCATGACGGTGGGCTGGGCCAAGAAATTCTAGCCACCCGCCCCACCCCCTGCGAGCACCCCCAGGGTCCCTGATCCCTCATGCCT